CATAGTATTAAATAGGTATATCCTTCTTACAAACATGTTCAGTTTAGGCTCCAAGCTGAATTTGTTTTTCTAGTTGCAGTCTGTGCTAACAGTTTGGATTTAAGAATGAAATATATAGACTAAATAATAAAAAAAGATTTTAGCTGTATGAATGGGGCAAGTTCAATTCACAGATAAATAATCAGTGCCTGGATTTTCTATCAGTGACCCATATATGCAATTCCATGGAGAGAAGCACCACACATTCTACTGGCTAGCAGGAGAGAAGAACTGCCAATCACCAAAGAGCAGCAAGTGGAATCCTATTACAGTGGAGAAAGAAATATTTGCTGTTTAGCTGGATTAGCCATAAAGCTTCCATAATGAATTTAGAGTGTAATCCAATCTGCCTTTGCTGGGGAGCAAATGTTTAAACAGTTGATGTGGCATTTGTCTAAAGATCAAGTACAATTATCCTCTAACATTACTTCCATAATAATGGATCAACATGGGATGCACACTTCTCCTAAATCTACAACTATTAGCCTTAATAACAATTATGATGAGGCCACATACAAGCATGAGGCCCATAAATTACACGGCTTGTTTGGATAACACACCAGCAATGTGTTTCTACCCAAGTCTAGAATGTGGCATCAGACCAGGAGGAATAATATAACTGCAACAAGAACAAGCCTTTCAAAGATAAGCAGGAAAAAGATGAATAATATAAAGAGAAGAATTCCTTCTGCAGTTCTAGTTACTCGATCTCAAAAAGGGAAATCAGAAAGTATAAGCCACAACCACTGGGAGGGGTTGAATATTTTTCCTATAATCAAAGCATAAAGCTGGGTATTTCTGGTGGAGAATTTACAAAAAGAACTATATTATGATCATTATGAATGGGGTGGGGGGGTGGGGGGAGGAAAGAGAGTAAATAAAAAGAAATTTTTCTAACTGCTAGCAAATAGAGCAATCCAATTAAAATGAATGGTAGAAGTAAGAAAATATTCACCCAAGGCTTAATATGAATGACATAGGTAATTCACTAATGATAATGTAGTGTGATTACTAGATTAGATTATTTTTTTAAAGCTTGAATTGAATGTATGCAGGACTAGGCCACAGCCATAATAGGTTTATGCCAAAGAAGAACCACCACCTCCATGTTCACAGTCAGCACCTCTAATTATTAAATAGTGGGGAAAAGATCCAAGGAAGAACTAGTTCCACCAAGTCCTGTTTGAAAACTTCCTGTAACTGGCCACTATTAAATACAGCATGCCATGTTAAAAAGTCTTTTGTTCTGATCCAAGAAGATAATTCCCATGGACATTAGCTAAGATATAAAGATAACTATAGTTACAGAAATAACAGAAGCAGTTCTACTACTAAATGGTCCATGGTACAATTAGTTTAAAAAAGGCTGTAGGAAGAATGATTTGTGGGGTGAATCTATTATGGACCCAGCAAACTAGCCGATACCCTGAAGTACAGCATTTGATTATATTACTCCCACATCTTAGGACTGAACTATATACAATTCTGATGGCAGTTATACCAATTGTCATAGCTATATAACCAAACTCAGAACAGCTGTAAAAACTTGAAATTACCAAAGAGCGCCAGATGGCTTTGTTGAAATACTTATAAAGTGCAGGATAGTTTCTAGTTATACAAAATATGTGTGGGTTACTTGGTCAACATAGCTGTATGCAAGCCTTTTACCCAGATATAACCCAAATTGTTTTACCCAAATTGTTAGCATAGCTGGGTTCAGACAGCACAATAACTCATGTGTCAAAAAACAAACAAACAAAAAACCCCGAGTTATCATGCTATCTGAAGCCAGTTGATGAGTTTTGTAATACTATAATATATATTGAGCATTTTGCAGGGCAGCAGAAGCAGTAAGGTTACATGGAAACGAAGCACAAGAAATACAAATTATTTTAAAATTATATTAAAGCTCCAGTTGATGATAAATCAAACATCCTGGCAATGCTGTGCTAATTAACAACTATAATGGGATAAAAAACTATTAGTTCAATTCAGGCTACAGCTGTTTCAGTCTATAGCAATGTCATGTTCAAGTCTACCTTTGACATTTCTTTGTTCAAAAATGACAATTTTAATAGTGTGTCCTGGGAAGGTAAAACGTCTTCCCACTGAATATTGCCCTTTCTGATATCAGATTTGTGTCCATTTACTCTTTTGCAAATGTTTATTTTTGCATAAATTCCTATGCTGATACAGAAAGCTACAGCTATTATATTTGTTATCAAGAACACCCCCTATTAGGTTTGTAATCCTGTGTTCCTCACATGCAGCCACAAACCCAGTACCCACAGTCTTTTCTTCTCCTTTTGACAGGCAACGAGAACACACATATATAGAAGTATCACTGGTAGGAGTGCAGTTAGGAACATCAAAAAGGAACAGGGCGTTCATATCTTACAGCAGAGATACAGAACCTCTTTAGGCCCAAAGGCTGAAATCTATTTTTGAGATTCTTGCAGTGGTCACATTCTGGTGGTAATATGGGCTGAAGGTAAGAGAAGCAAAGCCAAAATACCAGGTTTTAGCTTAAAGACCTTTCTTAAAAATGTGAAACACCAAATAATTAATGGTTGTGGTGATAAGGGTGTAACAGTAAACATTCACCACTCTACCCACACAATTCATATATCTCCAATTATTCAGATAATCAAGACAATTGGAAATTAAGCAAAATAAAACTTTTGTATATGAGCTACCAAGGGGCAGGTCATTTTTAATGTATACCTCTTTTTAATATCTTATTGTCATTTCAAAAGCCAGTGTGATGTAGTGGTTATAATGTTTGACTGGGGACCTGGGAAATCTGGGTTCTAGTCCCCACTTGGCCATGAAGCTCACTGAACCAGCCACTCACTCTTAGCCCAACCTACCACACAAAGTTGTTGCGTGGATAAAATGGAACTATGTAAGCTACCCTGGGTTCCTCATAAGGAAAAATGTGGGGTATAAATACTATGTAATAATGATAATATTTATGTACCAGCCTAGGCACACTGTGTTTTCTGAGGAAAACATGTCAGCAAAAATGAAAAATGTCTGTTCTCCAAACATACAATTGGCACATGCTAAAGAGCTGTGGCTACTGGTTAACCAAGCTGGACTTAAGTCCAGAGACACTATACACCACCACCACACAGAAGTTGTCAGACACCAATGTTTTCCAGTCTTACTACTTTCTGTCTCACTGTCCTCACTCAGTAACAGAAAGGAATAGTAGAGGGACTATAGCAGGCAGCTTTTTCACCCATCTTTACACCAGTATGCAGAATCTGAGACCTGGGATCCCAGATGAGGCCTCTTGGATTCCCTGATGGCCTTTCCCCCTTTTCCACAGCCACCAGTCATTCGGTACTTTCCCAGCTTTGGGCAGATTTTCCTCATCCTAAAAGACTGAAATGCTTAACAGTTGGCAGGAAAAACTCTAAGCTAAAATATATTGGTATTTTTGGTACCACCCCTTCAGTCTCATTCATTGGAATGCCCCCCCTCCACCCGCCAGCTTCTCTAAAATAGAATGTGGTTCTCAGCTAAAAGAGGTTATCCACCCTTTTTCCATTTTCTCTGATTATCCATATTCTAACAAAAGAATTGTTTGTATAAAGAACCAAAATTGTCATCAACCCTACTTCTTCATATTTGTTCCTATTTATTGATTTTAAAATATTCTAAAGCCATGGAAGGAATGGAAGCCTCTCTGATGTCTTTGTTTTTCCTATCTCTTTTGATGCCACTGGGACTATCTTTGGCAAGGGTACTCATGGGTCCTCTTGATCCCATAGGCTTTGCTCAGCCTTCCCCAACCCGATAGACCACAGTTGTGTTGAACTAAAACATCTAATCATTCCCTATCAACTTTTTTTCTTTTTCCATTTATTTGATTGTAAATTTTTCATCAACTCTACCAGCCAAATGGGTCATTTCACTGGGGATCTCAGAGATATAATCCAACACATCTGACAGGAAACTAGGCAGGGGAAGGCTGGATTATCTGCTTTCATGTGATAAAGAAGCAAGGCTACCCAGACATGTGTTTTAAAACATTGTATATAAAATGAAACCCCTGCTGTATCTGACAGTACAGGCTTTTGAATAACATCCTGTGGTTGTAGAAATGTTAAATTATTTCCAAGCCTTTCTTAAGGAAGGAGCAGGCAACACTTGCTGCTTATCGATCAAGGAAGCAGATACACTGCAAAAAAGGACATCTGGGACCACCAGAATCAGAAAATGCTGCAGTATGTCTTTCTCTTCCTAACATTTAAAGAAAATTAGCAAAAAATTATTTGTCTTTCCTTAGAAAAACCTTGGGACTCTCCATGTCCCAGTTCCACTTCTAAAATGCGTGGTTTAAGCACCACGACACTATTCCACACCATCCTACTCTTTCCTACCACAGGTTAAACCTCCTACACATAATTTCACCCATCCTCACCTTGTTGGTACATGTACCTAACAGATTTCTGTGGCATTACCTCTTGAACGGCAACATTTTAATTCCACAGAAGAGGTAAATCTAATACAATCATTTATATCATATACTTAGAGATGCAAGAAAGAAACGTTGTATAATTATTTACATAAATGAATGGGTCCTGGCTTCAAACTCGGATAGCCCCCGAACACAGTAGCTTAACATGCAATTTTCAAATGCCAAAATGACTGGGGAGGTCCCTGTTCCTGAACCCTTTAGCAGGGCAACGCAACCCTTCTTTCTACGGCCACCATCCGAGGAGGTTCCCTCAGCACCAGGTACACGATTCACGCCCCTCCCCTAAATCAGGCCCATTCATCCTCTCTTCAGCTATCCCTTTAGCGTAGCCTCTCCCTCTGCACCAAGCCACATCGATAGCGCGGAACGGATCCCTTTACCATCGATCATCGCTGGGAATGAGGGTGGGGAAACTCTGGACCCCATCGTCGCCCTCAACTCTCCCTGGGCCCCCTCCTAATCTAGCACTCACCATCCTCTACGCGGCTCCCGGTTACCATGGGCAACTGCGTCATGCGCGCGCATTGCATTCCTCTTACGTAGAACGTCAGTCCCAAGTACGTTCCGAAAGAGCCGGTCGGGGACTGGACGGAAAAAGCCCCACCCACTCTCCTCAGAAAAGATGAATAAATAAATAAGCTCCCGTAAATTCCCTGCCTTGCGCTCGCTCTTTGTCTGGCGCATGCGGGCTACGTCCGGTGGGGGGGGTGGAGAAAGCAGCACGTGTTTTCGAGGTCTCTCATTGGCTGGAAAGGGCCACGCGTCCCAGCATGCCGTGGTGGGTTGGGGGTAGCGCTATCCATGTGCAGCTAGAAAAGAAGAGGGGTGTGTGTAGCGCTGGGCGGTACTTGACGAATTACAGGTAGGAGCTGTATGGGACTGTCTGACAATTTGCGGACGGAATGCAGAGCAGGGGGAGGGAAGGTAAGATTGGCTGGCCCTTGTGCTGCAAGGCTCGCTATAAGGACCGTTTCACAACCTGGTGCTCACCAGATGCGTTGGACTGCAACTTGCAGCACTCGCACGGATGTTTTAAGACCTATTGGGAGTGCTTGGAGTTATACATCACATCTGGAGGGCACGAGTTTGGGGGAGTAAGTGGAAGGGTGCTGCTGTTCAGCCTTAGTGGTTGTAAAACTGCAAAGGAGATGGAGGGGAAGGGTTTAAAAAAAAACAGACAGGTGTGGTGTGTAAAAATCAGAGATGGGAGAGAAAAGTCTTTGAAGGGCAGGAGGATCTTGGGTGTGCAAGCAGTGGCCTGTTATGCGCTTCAGGGAAGCTCACAAGCTGCACGTGATGGAAGCAGGTATCCTCTGTTATTTTCCCACTCTGATAATTAGAACTATGGATTCTCTTAGCATGGAGCGAGTCCCTCCTGCTTTTGCTGCTATTGATAATGTGCGTGTCTCTTTTGAATGGTCCAAAACCTACCCAAGCTACCCTGCAGCACTGTAGTTTGAGGAAACATGTTCCACGTTTTTGTTTTAATAGCCAATCTTCCTTCCATGAGGACAGTATAGACGGGTTTCTCCAATGGTTGCTCCTGAAAGTACTGACCAGATGCAGACCTGCTTATCTGAGGTTCAGCAAAGTTGGTGTGTCAGGCTGTGCCCTGAGATTACATGCGTTTAACTGTGTGTAGTCTGAAATACTTCTTTTTTTGTTCTTCCTCAACTGCCATTTAGTTGCATCGGATCAGCCAAGCTCCAGTGCAGTATATGTGTGTGTGGAGGATGGGATGTATCTGACATTAACAGAGCTGATATGGTGACACTGAACATTTAACAGTCCACCTTCTGTGAGGGAGGGGAGAAATGTTAGTTTGGCTAGAATTAGAATTTCACAGAGGTGAAAACGACTGAGAAATGCCCTGGGATGTAGAGAAGCAAAAGGAGAAGGAAAACCGAAGCAATGAGACTAAAGAAAGGGTTCAGTAAAGTACACTAAAAGAGGGATCTGAAGAAAGGGTGGATCATAAGAATGTGAGAGAAAAATTGCACAGTACTCCCCATGTACTTCCTGCCTTGGATGCAGCTGTGACAGAGTCTTCATTATAGATTGCCTCATCCCCACCAAATGTAGAATTGCTCTGTGAAGTGAAAATTTCTAGCCAGTCACAGCCAACTGAGACCTTATTTAAAAAAAACCCTGTATAGGTTTTTTGCCCAAATATTTGCACTTAGCTGCCTTTTTCATCCTCTAATTCATAATTTAGAGAGACGCATTCAGAACAAGTCCCAGATGGCTTGAATTTTAATATTCCAAGAAACTTGTTGTTGCTATTTCAGCCGTCTGCCCTTGACTCCAGATCATTTGTTTATTATAACGTGTCACCTGTCTGATTGTGATTGTTCAAAAAGCATAAGTGGGGACAATTTAGAAGCATATTAACATGCATTGGTTCTAAAACTAATTGTTGCTGGATCTGTGTTTACTTGCTTCCATTGTGAAACTGCTTACTATCAACTCTTTAGCTTTGATCCAGTTACTAATCAATAATCAGACCTGTCATTCCATGATTGCTGAGTTTTCCTGAAAACTCAGTCAAGCATATAGGGCTTACCAGATCAGTGTTGCCCAGAAAATTCTTAGGAAGTTTAATGGTGGATGATATCCCACTATCAGAAATTACTGGATCATTCTAACTGTGGTGAAAGGTGGAGGTTTATTTTTCTGCCTTCGGGTTTTGTTTTTTGAGTTTTGTTTTTGGTTGAAGTTAGACTCCCCCCCCCCCAAAAAAAACCTCTATCTTGAGAGGAAAATGGTAATCTGGAAATGGCTGGGTTAGGGGTGTGCCAAGAGAGACAGAGGTTCTTTGATCTAGTGGATACAAGTCTACTGCAAAATGCCCTCTGGACACCAGTGGTAGTCCTATACTGGAAGAGGTTTCCACAGGCCTGTGGGGCAGATACAGGCTTGGCTTCTTCACCCCATTCTGTTGCCGCACACCCATCCCCATGAGACCCGTTTTGGTGAGGGCTAGAATTGTTTTCTTTGCTAATGTGATTGAAAAAGGAGGGAGACTTTTCAGCAAATAACAAAGCATATGAACAAATAAAATATGGCATGTCAACCCAAACTGGTGGCCCAATCAATCTGATCAATCTTCATTTGTGTTTCTGATAATTGTCCTTCAAAAAAGAATCTAAGAAATGCTACCGAAATCATAGCACAATTATCTTCTATATGTCAAGGAAACAGTTCATTGGTGGCTGCAATGACTAGTAAATATAGAGGAATGAAGCACAATGAAAAATAGATGATATGAGCAGTGTACATATCCAAAACATGCTAGCATAATACATCACCCCTTTATTCAGCCAGCTAATGCTTAACATCTGGCAAGGGATTATATATTCTACCCAAGCTAGTAGATGTTAAAGGAAACATATATAAGCAAACAAAATGGAATAGAATGTATGAGTAACACTGCATTCAGGGGAATTTCCAGTGAAGTTGAGATGGTGTTGCATTGACCTGTTTCTTATGACATGACAACCCACAACCAACTCATGGTGGTTTTTGTAGGGTGGCTTATTTTTCACAAACAAGCCACCCAAAGAACACACGACTTGTTGATGGGTTGTTCTGGGTGGCTTGCTGTGACATCTGACCCCAGAAGGATGACTTCATTGCAGGTTTGTTTGGAATACCAACCAGAAAGGCAAAAATCTCTGGTGTTCCTGATGAACTTGCTAGTGCTGCCAACCATCTTTCCTGATCCCTTCTTAGGCTTAGGGTTAACCTGAAGTACCAGCCTAGGTTTGCCAAGGCCATGTACCCTCCACCCTTTCAGTGCAGCATAGAATAGGCAACCCACTCTTCGTGGCTCAACTTCCTTGCCTCCCCTGAGTTAGTTCTGGACTGCTAGGGTTGCCTTCTGTGCTGTGCACCCACAAATCAAGCAGAAAGGACACCAGACAGTACCCAAACATATGCATGATCTGTTTAAAAATATGTTTACATTTTTGTTGGTCTTGTACAAGTGCAAATGTTCAGAAATGCACTGCTATGGATTTGTGTAATTTACTGCTCTGCCATGAAATTTGCATATATTTACCAATCCCACTTACAGCTCTATCTTGTAATTTGCATATATTCTCACTGGTCTGTCTTGTAATTTGCATATATTTACAGATTCCCCCTCACTGGTCTACCTTGACATTTGTGTAACTTTAATATGCATTTCTGACAACGACCAGTGGAGAAAAGCAACAAGTATGTGGACAGCAGTGAGCTGAAAGCAGATTATGACTGTGGGAGAAGAAACTTTTCAGGCAGGTGTTATTGGAAGAACATGAAGTAGCTTTAAAAAAAGTATATGCTAATGAGACAAGACCAGAAGTGGAGGATGAATGAACAAGTTAATAGACAAGAGAAGGATTACCTATGTACTTGGCTAAACAGAGGCCAACTTGTGACCGGCACTCCATTTTTTTTAGGTTTGCAAATATGTTATTGTAGTCATAAGGAGTCAGAGAACTACTTAAATTCAGTGATTAGAGGGCATAAAGCATTTCTCTCAATAGCCAGCAACTCAGCAGACCAATTGCAGAAAGGATGCTGAGCCACAAACCCAGAAAGCGAGAAGTTGTGCAGCAAAGGTGCATGGGATACATGCTGGTAGTAAGCAGGAGGACTGAAGAGGGAAACAAGCAATGGAAAACTAGAGTGACACTTTCCTCTTAGATTGGTTCAGTAAGTGAACAACCAATCCAGGGTGGCTTAGTGTGATGTGTACAATTGTCCATTGCTGAGGACATGAATGCATTGTAACTTAGACTACATATGGATCAAATCCTACAGAACAAAGCACTGCAGCTTTTTCTACTGCAGGCTGAGTCCTGCCTTCTCTCTTCCCCACTGTTTTTGCTCCTCTAATTACCCAGCTCTGAATCCAGTGCTGTCTTGGAGTTTGTTTGTTTTTTAATAGCCCAGATATTTTTCATGTATATGATTTAAATGTAGTATGTAAAAAAGAAAAGAAAAGCTTCATTCTGGGCTGGGGTGGCCAGAGAGATGTCCTGATTAATACAAGGGCCAGCCAATTGGCATTCAGCATGCTGACTTTGGGTGGAAATGGGAAGAACAATTTCCTTCTAAGCATGATTCTTGAGGAGGGTTGTACATCTTACCAAACGGTTCAGGAGCACAGATCCACAGTGGGCTTGCCACTCCCAATTTGTTACATTTGTACATAAGTTAAATGGGAACCTGAATAATAAGAATGTTGTATAATAAGCATGGTTGAAAAGCAGTAACCTGATCATGGTTTTTGTATGCATTTTCAGGTGCATTAAGGAATATCCTCACAGTCTCTTATTCTACAGCAGAGTCTCTTTCGATTGACTGGAATTCTTACTTGTCTTCACCTTATCCTGACTTCTGAGATTGCACCAGGTACTATCCACACACTCAAACACTTTCATTTCTAGCCTTGGTGGCTGCAAGGTTGCTTTTAAAAGTGAAAGATGCCCCCACCACAGGATGTTGATTCATCCTCTGCTTTGTCCAAAATGCACTGCAAACTATTTTGTACAGAAGACTTTAGAATTATACTGTTTGATAGTATGGTAGCATTTACTGTGGGGAGCAGCCAGATCCATCCTCATGGGGACGCCTAAAAGTAGGGTCTAAGGAAGCTCACATCGGGGGACAATGTAGTACATTGAACATCACACACAGACAAATGCTGGAGCTTACAATGCAAGGCAGGAGTATAATTTCCATTTAGTCTTTTTTAGAGATTTGATTCCAAGTCTCTTCTACAAAACTGAAATCAGAATCTGCATGTCTAAATCTTTGCCTTCACTAAAATATTTCCTCTCTTTTCTAGGGTTTCTCTCCCCAAAATGCCTTTTTAACTGTATCGAATATACCAGCATATAAGGTGACTCATATATAAGACAAGCTCAATATTTTGGGCTATTTTTCTGGTGTTTGGCATTTGTCAGGTATATAAGATGAGCCCCAATTTTTGCTTTGCTATTTTCGGTTTTAAGGGTTGTCTTAAACACTAATATATAAGTGATAACACATGGAATAAATGTTCAGAAAGTATGATTCAGAAAAAAATCCTTTATATAACAGCATATAAGGCAACTTGCATATAAGATGAGGTCCGTACCTTGAGGTTTTTATATACGTCAGGCATATAAGACGACCCCTAATTTTTGCTTTGCTACTTTCAGTTTCAAGGGCCTCATATGCTGGCATATACAGTAAATCTAATCCCTGTAATTAGGTGGCCCTGTCTTTTGTATGTAAAAGGTAATCAATACTCCTGTTTAGTTGCTTTTAACAGCTTTCCCAGCTTTTTCCAGGGCTTTACTGTTTACAATCCAAGCCCAAATTCTCTGTTGTTGTTCTCTTTATTTCAGGAAGTTATATGCCAGGCCTAAGTTCAAGCTGACTATCCTGCTCTTAACGGAGGATGCTATCTATTAACAAAAGGAGTTCAATATTTATTCAAATGTTGAGGACATAGATATATACACCTCCTTCTTTGTCTTAGCTATGCCTTTGGAGACCTAATTATTTTGTAACCACAAGGGTAATACATACTCTTGCTGAGCAAGATAACTTTGCTTAAGCTGCTAATAAAAGACAGTATACATCCTGACTATCAATTAGAATTAAAAAAAAATCATTTCACATTCTCCTCTGTCCTGTCTGCCAGCGCAAAGTCAGTTGACTATGTAGGGACTATGACTATGGTAAGGAAGTGTAGGGAGAACTCCAGAACCTTGAAGTCAGTTATAGCTTACATTACTCTAAAATAAATAGAGATTTCTGCTTTTTGCTTTCTTTCCTTCATTCTTTTTTCTTCTTTTTTGGAAACTGTGAAATGAGGTTTGATTTACAGATATCTCCCAGCCTTCTTATCTGCTGCTTTATTATCAGCCCTCCAGATACTTTGCAAAGAATACAATCTCTCCCCCTGCTCCCATCTCATCTGTTCCTTTTCTTTTTTTAATGCAGTATGGAGCTTCCTATGTTTAATATGCTAAACTGGGATAGAAAAAGTCCTTATCTTTCAGCATTACACAGCACTTTGAATTCTTGTAACATCTCTGTGGGGCAAGTCTTTTACTATTCTCAGTTATGTCCAAATCCATTCAACAAGGCTGAAAGTGAACTGGGTAGAACAGAAGCTCTTGGTGTATCTAGCTTAGTTTACCATCTGTTCATCTGTACTTCAAAAAAGTTCTCTTCTTTGGTTAATAAAAGATGTATATTACTTTATATGACTTCTATAATTAAGAACTTAATTTAGTGGAAACTAATATACATACAGAATTAAACTTTTTGATGATAATTTGTTCATGCATTCATGTCTGGTTAACTCATCTGTTGTGAAAACATTGAGTCCAATAACCTGCAAACTAATGAATGGGTTATGTCATCACCACAGTATAATATGATACACTTTGTGGTCCTTTTGAGTCCCTGGTCCCTGATTGACACAACCACTCCCAAGTACCTTCTGTGAAATAAAGCTCATACAGTTCCTGGGTACACCTTAGAACTGAGAGCAATAAAACAAAACAAGAGACATCCTGAGTGCAGGTGGAGGAAAACTTCCAGTGAATGCAACAAACACCTGAAGTTGAGTATATTTTGGGGCAGTGAGGATAGCATTGAAACAATATCTCACTGCCTCTATTCAATACCCCCTCTGGCACCTAGTATAGATTTTTAGGGTCATCCAGGGGCTACTTCATTCTGGCCCCATGGACACCTTACAGCCATATGAGGCCTATTGCAATTTATGGAGTAAGCACTTCTAGGATAAAATATCTTGTATCCACCAGGACGTAATCTCCAGTGTAATTGTAGTTGAATCAGGTGAGATATCTATGGCAAAGCCTAGGCAAGTTCTCTCAATGAGATCCAGTCCTTACAGCTTAAGGGTGTTAACAAAGTGCTCGGACAGATTTGTACAACCCCATCCATACTAGATCCTTAGTCCCCTTGGCTAATAACAGCTAACAGGGAAGGAACAGCCATCTGGGGCATATTTTAAGTCTGTGAGAGTAATACTTTGTAGTTCTGGGTATGTTTAAATTGTAATGTATGTTGAAACTGTTGTTTTCTTAAGATAGATATTTATTTTGTATTTGCCACATTTATATCACATGCTTTTCTCCAAGTAAAGCCAAGGTGGAATACAAGATCAGCTTCCTCTCCATTCATACCCACATAACGACCCTTGTAAGGTGGGTTAGGCTGCAAGTCAGCAACTGGTCCAAAGTCACTCAGTAGCCACGTGGCTGGAGTCACTTCTTGAACCCAGGACTCCCCAATTCCAGTATAATATTCTTAATAAGAATTTCCAATAAGTTTGTTGTTTTAAAAGTTTATAACTCTTTTTCAGCTACCATTGATAAAGAGGTATTCATGTCAGATACTGTGAAGCACTGTTCTCACTGCCTTTTTTGTCTTACCTGAATTGTACATGTTCCTAAGACTTCCAGGTATGACATACTATATCGCTGCTGATCACACTCAGCCCTAATAGTGTGGTGAGGCTAAGCTGGCCTGCTGTCTGCATTTTAACAGAGTATACACTGCACTTCTTGTAATAATTATTTTACAAGACTGTGTTGCAGATTCTATCCATGCCGAGTACCTACTGTGGGGACTAAAGGGCAATAAAATGTTCCACACCCCATCTTTGGATTGTATTTTTCAGTGCTGGAACATTCACGTGTGACCCAGTTCATGCCAAAGTTCATAGCATAGCATGAGCAAACAAATTGTGCAAGTTAGTAGAAGGTCTTTATGGGGTGGGATTCACACAGAACTCCTGACTTATTTTTCAGTAGCCTCTTAGTCGTATTGCTTTGGCTTAGTGAATACTACCCATGTAATATGTTTCATATTCGGATCCTGAGCTAGTCTAGTCTTGTGTCTTCTATGGGCTTTGAGATTATGCAACTCCAAAAAACAGCGGCTTTGGAATACCCTTGATTTTTCTGGTTGTTCCCCCCCCCCCCCCCCCCCACTGGGACTAAAACTAAACTAATACATAGCCTAGTACTCTTGGCTGCATCTATCTATCCCTCAGATGATTTAACAAAAAATCATCATGCAATTTTTTACATAGAGTTTAAGTCCATCAAATCTAACCATTTCATTTTTCAGGCATACTCTGACCACTCTGTTTTGTGCATGTATCAGTATTAAAGGTTTAATACTTGCATTAATGTACTTTATAAAGTGTGTTTGTAGAGCAATTATATTATGTACTTGTTGTGAGCCGCCCCGAGGCTTTGTTGCGATGGGGCGGCATAAAAATGTTTTAAATAAATAAATAATAAATAAAGGTTTCTGTTTCATAGAAGTTGACAGCAGATCTATTCCCTTTCTTATTTACTGCATTGCTGCCTTGATAATGAAAGTTGTTACTAGCAAGTTGTCTGTGAATGCACTGGTTTTCTTCCTCCCTAGAATGTACCCCAGCATCTTATATACTTAGTCAGCAGATCTAAGTAAATATTGGAGCTAGTTTAGTGTAATGGTTAGAATATTGAACTGGGACTCGGGAGGAGATCTGGGTTCTACTCTCCAGTTGACCATGAATTTCACTGGGTGACTATGGGTTGATTATTGATTCTCAGCTTAACCAACCCCCCAGGGTTGTTGTGAAGATAAAATGGAGGCGAAAGCTATGTAAGCTGTCTTGGGTTCTTTGCAGGAAAAATGCTGGTTTGTAAATTTAATAAATATACCAATTGTTAAAGAGCTTGTACATCCCAAGAGATATCATGGTGGACCCTTGCAAGTTTTGGTAGAGGATGAAACTATAAGCAGGATAATAAATGCTGGTTGCCTTCATGCCCGTTCCAGGTTCTCTAATACAGCCAAAGGGTGGAATTTATTGGGAGAAATCAAATAAGATGAAATATGCCCATGCTATTAACGTCTGTCACATATTACCAAAAGGACTCTCCTAAATACTGACCAGAATAAAGTAAATGAGGGGAACCAGTTGTGATGGAGTAATGGTTGCAAAGAGATTTGGTACATATGTTTTGGATGGAATCATGTAGCTTTGTAAAAATTCATGTACTGATTAAGATTGTGAAGCCTTCATATGGAAATGGTGCGCCTCTTTTTATTTTGGTTTGAGCAGTTCTCCTGAACTTAATGCCCTGAATATGCCTCCCAGAATCCCCCCAGCCAGTTATGCTATGCCAGCTGGGATGTTCTGGGAGTTTTAGTCCAACACATCCCAAAAGCATTAAGTTGGGAAAATGTATGTTAGAGAGCTCTGTATATTTCCCTCCACTTATCTTGGCTTACAACTCCTGTGTTTCCTTACCATTGGTTATGGTAGCTAAGGCTTGTGGGAGTTCTAGACTAAAACATCAAGTTGCACTGACCCATGAATTGTCCTTTTTCTCTTTCCCTTTCTGCAGTGAAATGACAGCCAAGTTTAATATTGATGCCCCTCGATGGGACCAGAACACCTTTTTAGGGCGTGTGAAGCATTTTTTCAATATCACAGACCCCCGGACGCTGCTCGTGTCGGAACATGAACTAGATTCAGCAAAGGCCTTGGTGGAGAGCTGCAGGTAGCCAGCTGAGGAACTATTCAACAGAACTCTTGCAAATTCCAAAAGTAGCCTTAATACTTTATACTTTAGGATACCTAAAGGAACGCCTTCTTCCGTATTTGCCCTCCTGCCCCCTAAGATCGGCCGCAGAGGCCCTCCTCCTGGAACCCTCCGTGAAAGATATTAGGAGGCAAATTACCCGGAGGAGGGCTTTCTCTGCAGTGGCACCCTGTCTATGGAATACACTCCCCAGAGAGGTCCGCCTGGCGCCATCGTTATTTGTTTTTCGGCACCAGGCTTTTTATTTCAACGATATTTTAATAACTTTTAATATTAGCTATATTTGTTTTAATCTGCAGCCAGGGTGGATCTGGAATTTTATTTGTATCATGTTTTATATTATTATTATTATTATTTATTTATGTAAGCCGTCCTGAGGCTCTGCAAAAAGGACGGCATATAAATATTCTAAATAAAATTAAAATAAATACATATCCAGTTTGACTGGTAACATCTATAGAAAATGTTGGGTGGTCATGTCATTGCACATTTTTGAAGGTGTTCTAGGGATGGCCTGCAGAGGTTTTGTGACCAGCCCATGGATCCTCCTTAGGTTCCTCCAGGATATGAGGCTTAAGATAAGAGCAGTGCTCTTATCCCTGCTACCTGCAGTGGGGATGCAGGTAGCAGGGAATTCACTCAGTGCTGAAATAATCAACTGCATGAAGCCGGGGACTTGGCAGTATTCCAGCCTCATCCTCATCCTGGAGATTGATGACCTTTTCAAGAAGGCAACCCTCCTGAACAGGAGGACTTTTCTGTCCTGGCCTTGCTGCCGGATTGTGAGTCTTGGAATTCCAGAATGTTAAATTGCAAGTTGGTCAAAGTAATGCAGAGCTTCTCAGTGTTACACAAAGGATTTGAATGTTTTGATGATCCCTGATCCGCAAGAGCATTTGCTGCCAGGGAGAGCTTCTCCCAGATTAATAATGCATAATTTGTGGAGAGTGGGTACTGTTACTAGAAATATGGAGCTGAGACTACTATTTCCTCCTTTTGCTTATAGGGCAGGCACAGTGCCTCCAGGAACCAACGAGGAACAGCTTTACTATGCTAAGAAGCTTTATGACTCAGCTTTTCATCCTGACTCAGGGGAGAAGATGAATTTGATAGGGAGGATGTCATTTCAAGTCCCTGGGGGAATGGCTATCACAGGTTTCATGCTACAGTTTTACAGGTATGAAGGGGTGGTTTTGCTGAGCTTCTATGGATCCTTTTTCCTCTCTTCTGCCTCCCTTAAATTTGCTTTAGTGAAGCAGTTTTCTTTAAGAGACAGAAAATTGGATGCTTTTTCCCCTGAAATGCTTGCAGTCAAACCCTAATCCTGTAAATTCTTCCTTAATACATTTACCTGGTGGTGTTTTTGGTTTCTCTCACTTTTTCCCCTTTTCTAAATTTGTCTGCAAGGAAAACTAATGGTTGCCGAAGGCCTCTGGGCATTCTCTTATATTAACACTGAAATGCTGTTAGAGAATTAATCTTTAGCACTCTGCATCTGCTATTTTACAGCAGAAACAGGTAGCTGACAATGACGGTAGTTAAAAATTTTGGAAGGATCTGAAAACAGGCAAAAGTTATGCCTGGTCCAGGCAGATAGATTTCAGCTTTAGAAAATAAGATCTGGGTAAAGACTGTGCATTTAGGCATTGAAAACAATTCCTACAGCACGGAATGTTAATTTCTATGTTTTGTATATATTATACAGATGTAGGTTCAACATGTGGTAAAAATACACAAGTCATGGAGAAAAGAAAGAAACTTTTCAGGGCAGTAAAGCAATCCCTTTTGAATGCTAGTCCAGGGTTTTGGCCACTTGTATTCAGGTCTGTTTTTCCAAGCATAAGGACTGGAAACTGGTGCATGAGGGGATTGTTAAAGAAAGTGGATGTTTCCATGATGTTAAATCCAAATTCTTTGCTTTTGCACAAATGTGGAATGCAAGTAGCCCTGGCTATTCCTAGACATTTGAGTGCGGGATAAGCCACCCTGAAAACTTTGCTGAAATTGCAATATATAAATATTTTAAATACCTAACATATCTACAGAAATGATTCAAACCACATGAAATTCTTGACTAATGATGCATAAGCCAAAGATCTGAGTAGATGTTCGTTGAATCCAGAATTTGGGCCTGTTCATTGATTTGAGACAAGAATTAGCCTTCTTGCTCCTTTTTATCTCTCTTTTTCTCTCAACACACACAGACACCTCCACCCACCCCCCTACCCACCCACCTATCTATACAAAGTAGCTTGTATAAAATTATCATAAAATAGCAAAATGCAGCTTAAATGATAAAATGCACAACAAAAGTAACGACAGTGTAAAGCAGCAATAGTTACATAACAAATCAGGTTTGTGCCTGTGAACATTCTTTGATTAGTGAGAAAGCAGTTCAGACACCTGGAATTCTTCACCCAGGAGGTCAGACATTCCATGCATCCACAGCTCAGGAAGCTGGAAGGGAACTGGGCCCCCATCCATTCTGGTACCTTCAACCATAAGCTTATCCTGTGTGGTTGGTGTGTGTTTATATGCACTCACTGCAACAGGATTTCTTAAATTAATGATCAGTATTCAAGCAACTGAATAGGGGGGAAATAAAGTGACCAGTGGCATCTATGGGAACCACTCTGCAATTTACCATATGGTGGCTTTGTCTGCGTGGAGGGAAACTATCTGGAACCTTCAGCCATGTTGTAAGTCTGCCATTGCTGCACTTCTGTAACTCCCTGGAAATCTGGGGAGAGGGGGATACTGTTTTGCTCAGATTACTATGTGGCCTTGGGATTACAGGCAGCTGCCTGTCCATGCACTTTTTTATTGGCTTAGTTATGTTAATACATAATGTTAGTACATGGCTGATTCTACCTTTAGTGGCTTCCTGTTGATAGATAGGGGCAGCTTGTTATTAAAATTACTTTTATAATGTAACATTTGGTTGAGCTGTTAGAGCAGGACATTAGTGGGAGGTACTTATTTACCAGGAAAAACAACTCTTGTTGTCCTTTGGACAAGCTGAAGTCTTGCCTGTTTTCTTATTAACTAATTCCTCCAACTCATTCAGGCAGTTTATACAGTTAGCTCTTGATGCAGCTGGAGCTAAAATGTCCATCTCTGTTACTTTTTATAAAGCATACTGCAGTCATATATACCCACAACCATTCCAATGGAAATAGAAGGTATTGATAATGATGAATTCATGAGTTCTTTTTCATCTGGCCTTTCTATGTCGTACTCTAAAATGCGCTAACATATTAGCTCCAAGCAACTCTCATAGCGTGTTCCCTGGGTTTCATAAACCCAGAAGAAAATAAGTAGTGGCTTGCCCCACATCAGTGATCTAAAAGCGTTGTTAAAACTCAGAACTGTGCCTTGGAAACTTCTGCTATGCTTTCACATGACCAAGTTTGTAACAGGGCTCAAGATGGCTGTTTATTATGGTAGTTCGCATTTTGTATCCAGTTCTTTTGCTGATATTGTCAGGCTCAACAGATAGTGCTGACTGTCTAAAAATATACACACCTGTTGTTCAGATAAATCAATACATTCAGAGAAATAGGCATAGTTTTGTTTTGTTTTGCTTTGCTGGGTTGGAAATTGTGAGGGAAAATATGTACAGAAATCAACATTGTTCTAGAGCTTAGTAGCCAATTATTGTTTTCACTAGCCAGTTGTAAAGTCCAGTTTCACTACAATAGCACTGCTAATATCTAGATTTTGATAACCAGACCTTAAACACAAGAGTTGTGATGTTAACAGGAAACCAAAATTTTATAGCTATTTGTATTTTGTAATAACTTGGTGTTTAAACCCTTTAAATACATGTTATTTCTGCATAGGTGTGGATAGAATTTGAATGCCCCATCTCTGAAACTCCCTAGTTATTGAATTTGGGAAAATAACTTCTTAACAAATTTGATTTTAGGTTTTTTTGTTTTTAAAGAACAGCTCTTTTTCCTTGCTTTTATATAGCATGAATTTTGGGTACAATGTACAGTTCTTGTTCTAGTGGTTGTCTGAAGAACATGGTCAACCTGGCACAACTGGGAGCACTCTAGGACCCCCTGAAATAGACTTAGGTGTCCTTCTGAGTGGGACTTGTTAAGGACACCCCCTGGATATAGTGCTGTGCATCCTAAACAAACAACAAGAAGAAATTCATGCAGTTGTAGAGACCATACAAATTTACCACTGATGCAAACCAAAAGCACACTTGAAGTTTCAAATTATCCCTGCTGTTTTCCCTACTATTACTTCTTTTCCATAAAGCTGCACCAAGTTCATTCTCTCTTCCAATGCAGAGCAACACAAACACAAAATTGGAGTGTTCTCTGTTTGCACTGCTCTGCTGTATCCCCCCAGGTGCAAATTCGGAGAACACAAAGCACGTGCTTGAGTGTTTGTATTTGTTGTTCTCCAGCTGCACTTCTGTTAAATTCCTGTCTGATGCAGGCTTGCTGCAAAATGCCTTGTCTGAGGCATCCTTCCACAACCTATTGCTCTCCGTGCAGTGCTGGGAGTTGTAATCGAATGCTTCTGAAGGGCAACAGATTAGGGCAGGCTCTTCTAAAACTTAAACTGCCTGAATTATTATGCATCATTAATACTGGACACAGTACTCCAGCTGAGGCCTAACCAGTGCTGAAGAAAGGGGAACTAGTACTTCATGTGATTTGGAAGTGATATGTCTATTAATGCAGCCAAGTATTTCTCATCTTGTAATGATGCATTTGGTTTCTTTTCCCTAGGTGCAGAACTTGACATTTGTCCCTACTGAATTTCAGTCTGTTGTTTTCAGCTCAGTGCTCCAACCTAGCAAGATCACCTTGAATCTTCTGTTTTCTAGACATTAGCTATCCCAACCAGTTTTGTCTCATCTGCAAATATGATAATAATTCCTTGCATTTCCTCATTCAACTAATTATTAAAATGTTGAAGAGCACTGGACCCAGGCCTGAACCCTGCAGTACCGCATTTGTTAACTTCTCCCCAATTTGAGAAGGCGCCATTGATGAGCACTCTTTGAGTTTGATTCTGTAGCCAGCTGTGGATCCACCTGATAGTTGTTCCATCTAGCCCACTTTGAGCTAGTTCGCTGATCAAAATATCATGGGGCACTTTGTTGAAAGCTTTGGTGAAGTCAAGATATACTATGTCCACAGCATTCCCACAGTTTATTAGGGGTTACCCAATCAAAAAATGAAATCAGATTAATTTGGTAGGATTTGTTCTTGAGAAATCTGTGTTGGCTTCCAGTAATCATTACATTGTTTTCAAAATGCTTGTGGATTGTCTGCTTTATAATCCCCTTCAGAATTTTCCCACGGGTTGATGTCAGACTGAGTACTCTGTTGCTCCCAGGTTCTTCTTTCCTCCTTTCTTGAAGAGGGGGACAACATTGGCCTTTTCCAGTCATTTGGCTCGTCCTCTGTCCTCCATGATTTCTGAAGATAATGGACAGTGGTTCTGAGAGATCCAAATAGGAAGTCTTTGTTGAGGAGCAGGCAAGCACCTGTGTTAAAGGCACATTATCTGGCTTGCTTTAAATGGATTCATAAGCCTTAATCATATGCCATAAGTGAGTACCAATATGGCTTGGAACTGGAATATCTTAAGAATTCCCTCTTCCCATCTAAACCTGCCGAGGCACTGGGATCCAGTGTGAAGCCCTTTTTTGTGACCTCCTACTGGGGATGGGAATGCAGGTGGCGCAGTGGTTTAAAGTGCTGTGCTCCTGGGTTGGTTGATCAAAAGATTGCCAGTTCGAATCTGCACAACGGGGTGAATTCCCGTTGCTCCATCCCAGCTCCTGCCAACCTTGCAGTTCGAAAGCATGCAAATCCAAGTAGATAAAAAGGTACCACTTTGGTGGGAAAGTAACAGCATTCTGTGCACGTCAGTGTTTAGTCATGCTGGCTACATGACCACAGAGACTGTCTGCAGACAAATGCTGGCTCCCTTGGCTAGGAAACGGAGTTGAGCACTGCCCCCTAGAGTCAGACATGACTGGACTTAACGTCAAGGGGAAACCTTTGCCTTTACCTTAGTGTTGGATGTATGCTACAAGAGAAAAAACCTTTCTCATGGTTGTTTCCCTGGCTTGTTTTATTTCCATAGGGTTCTTAGGCTCAGGCTTCTAAATTAGATATACTTTTTGCAATTTTTTTGCCTGTCCTACACATTTGATAGCTGCCTTGTTTATATTGTTATGGAAAGATGGGAAATAAATGGGTACTATGGTTTGGATTCAGCATCATAAAAAGCCTATTTAAGAGAAGGTTTTCTGTGTCTTGATAAAGGTGGGTATCTTGGGCCAGAAAATGGGATAATGGAGGCTGTGCCACCAGTGGCTGTTGAAGGATGCAAATGTCTTCTCTGGCATCAGAACCATTTTTCTCATTTCCTTCCCTTCAGGACAGTTCCAGCTGTTGTTTTCTGGCAATGGGTGAACCAGTCTTTCAATGCCATTGTGAACTACACTAACCGGAATGCCGCCAGCCCTATCACACTCAAGTGAGTACCTTGAGCATCAAGTGCAGAGTTACTTTCTGCTTATCTTCCCTAATTGTTCAAGTTAACTGGCCTGGCATTAGCTAATATGGATGTCTGTCATCTGGAATAGTTGTCCTCTTGGGGATTGGAGCATGTGGGCAAATTGCCATGGATCGGTTAGTCATTTTGGCATCTCAGTCGGGTGCATAGCATTTCTGAAATTGGCTCTTGGAAATGGAGCAGAGGATACTGTTGGAGAGAAATAATCCAGATACGTACAGTCTTGTGTCCCTGCTTTCTCTGTGAATAGCATTCAAGACTTATTGACGCTCATAGTTTCACATTAAGCTCCAGGGGTTTAGGTAGTGGGAGTGAGAGAGAAGAATGGATAGCTAACTGAAAGGGGCAGGTAGCTATGATTTCATGCTCAATATAGCTTAGCACAACTGTAACAAATAACTATCACTTCTAGCTATTCTCTGCTTCCCATCCCTTACAGGGACCATACCAGGACTAGATCTGGCAAGCTTATTTATCACTTTGTATATTGCATGGTATCAAAGAGCCACAAACTTAGGGACACAAGACAGCAGCTACTGATCTACAAAGCAGACTTGTTTAGAAAGTAGAGTCTGACATGCTGCAAAATTGCAAGTGAATAGATGTTTTCTTTTAAAATGTTTAAATGTTTTATGTTTAAAATAGTCATACACACAACTGAATAACCTTGCCACAAAAAGGACACATTAATGCCATGTGTGAGCCATTTGCTGCACAATTACTGAACTGAATTTGATTATTGATGGGCTCATTTGGACCTCTTTGGATGATTTCAGGCAAATTGGGGTTGCTTATTTCACCGCTACCAGCACTGCTTTGGCAACAGCTGTGGGACTCAACCTTTACACCAAGGTACGGTCATAAATTGCTCATTCTTGTAACCACAAGAGGGCATCAGGAGTGAGGGTAAGGCAAACAGTCTGGCATCTCCCTTCGGTGTCTAGGAACTGCAGCTGTGTGATTGTCTGCTTTATATTCTAGTGCTGGAAATTATAAAATAAAATGAAGGAAAGTTCCTTTGCCCTTATAAGCTGTTTGTCTTGGCTGCAGGGTATCCTCTTTATTCCTTGGCTTCAATCGCTGCAGAACTTTACTTTAAAACATATCCATTTAATATAAAAATTGGGGGAAATAGAATAATATGAGGCATTATAGGTGCAGTGCATATACCACAGTGATCTTCACTGCTTTTCAGGTAGGAGTCACTTTGGTTGCAGTTCCACCATTGAGGCAGCCTGCACAGAGTAGCACTGTAGCTATCCAGCTACGTTGCTTGTTTTTTCTTGGGTTCCTCCCTGTGCCACAGCTAATCAGCTGAGTACTCCTGTGTTCTTCTCTTCCCCCATCCCACCATCAGCAGGTATTCTGACTGCCCACACGCAAAGCTGCCTCCAGTAGCCCAGATTACCAACCGTTAAAGCAAAGACCAAGGCAAAGCTAGCAAGCCTCTGAGAGTGAGCAGCTATTGCAAAGAGAGAAAGAGCAGGGGGAGGGGGAGAGGGAGGAAGAGGATACTGCACTTGAGGTAACTGGGGCCACCAGTGGCCCTTAGGCCTTGCAATGATGAACTCTGGCCCGTGGCATCTACCGCTTAAGGGCCACTTTCCCCAGAGCTGCTGTTATTTAAAGTCTGGTCCTATCCCTAATGTTGTGATCTTTCTCTGTGCAGAGAGCCCCATCCCTTGTGGCACGCTGGGTTCCCTTTGCCGCAGTAGCTGCTGCCAACTGTGTGAACATCCCCCTGATGAGGCAGCAGTAAGTCTTTCGGGAAAGACAGTGTGGTCTTGAAGTAGGGAGGGGAGAAAGGGAAATGTGCTGGTATACTGTGTAACTGGTGAAAAAGTCCTTGGTTAAAAGGAAAGAGTCTGCCTTATCTGGCAGTGAAGGTGTTTGCCTAGGAAGGAGGGCACCTGGGTTCCAACTCCCCAGCAGCTAATAATACCTCTCTTGCATAGCTGTTTTGCAAAGTTACTTCTGATAGCTGAACAGGCAATAGGGTGAAAATATATCACAAAGGAAACACTTCCATTTCCTACCTGAAGCACATTTCAGACACTAGTTCTAAAATTCAGGGGATTAGGCACCAAAGCAAGGGGATTCCTGTGTGTTCAGTCAAAAAGTTGACCAATCTTTGACCATCTTTGCTGATGGTGAAAGCATGGTTCTCACAGCATGTCATGGGTGTACACAAACTGATAATATTTCATGCAGTGTGCTACTATTATCCTTGCAGGGATCACACGTCCTTCTCTTAATGTTTGCCCTACACTTCCTAGTTCATTTGGCTTTTTTTTTCTTTTAATGGTCAAACATGAGCTTGCAGTTATTTTAAAAAAGGTTTTCTAGTATCGCAGGTTCTAGGCCTATGTATACTAGTTGGTTGGGATCATGGGTAAGAAGGCTTCACACATGCAGCTGATTGGCCAATGTGTGACTTGAATGTTAGACTACTTACGTTCTTATGCATAGTCCAGGGATGGTTTGGTCTATGGTTTGATCCGAGGATTGGCAATGCAGGTCCAGCATCCCAGGGCTACCCAACTATTAGCCAGCATAGTCTGAGAGATGATGGGAACTGTGACTTTTCAAATGTTTTGGGTCATAACTCTCCCACTCCTGGTCTGCACAGGTGTCTTGTATTCTCCTTCCTCCACTACTGGAAAGTGTTCCTACCCTCACCATCCAGCATTACTGCACCTGTTCCCTGTATGTGTTGTTAACTGAATCTAATTCCCACTACCATATTTATTTTATTTATTTATTTGGACAACTTATATGCCGCCCCATTCGCATAAGCCTCGGAGCGGCTTCCAGTCCATAAATAAATACAATCAATAGAAATACATAAAATACTGGAGACATCCTGGCAAAAATTTTGAAATCAATAAATAAAATCAACAATTAAAATAACCTTTAAATAAAAAGGTCTTGGCCTGGCGCCAAAAAGCAAATAACCATGGCGCCAGGTGGACCTCTCTGGGGAGCACGTTCCGTAAGTTGGGCGCCACTGCAGAGAAAGCCCTGCTCCGGGTAATTTGCCTCCTAATATCTTTCACGGAGGGCTCCCGGAGAAGGGCCTCTGCCGCCGATCTCAAGGTGCGGGAGGGCACATACGGATGCAAGTGCTCCTTTAGGTAACCAGGTCCCAAGCCATTAAGGGCTTTGTAGGTGATAACCAGCACCTTGAATTGGGCCCGGACTTCAATGGGGAGCCAGTGAAGCTGATGGAGGACTGGAGTCATGTGAGCACAACACCCAGTCCCCGTCAGCAACCTGGCAGCTCTATCTTGCACCATCTGAAGTATCCGGACCGTCTTCAAGGGCAGCCCCACGCAGAGCGCATTACAGAAGTCTAATCGGGAGGTAACCAATGCGTGTGTCACTGTCGCCAGGCGATCGTCCTCCAGATAGGGACGCAGCTGATGGATCAGCCGGAGCTGAAGGAAAGCGCTCCTCACCACCGCTGTTACTTGATCTTCCAACGATAGCTCTGGGTCAAGGAGCACTCCCAAGCTGCGGACCCTGTCCTTAAGAGGGAATGCAACCCCATTCAGGACAAGGTCAAAGTCCCCCACCCCGAAGCCCGACCCACCTATCAACAGGACCTCCGTCTTGTCTGGATTGAGCTTCAGTTTATTGGCCCTCATCCAGCCCATTACCTCGGCCAGGCACCGGTTCAGTACAGCCACTGCCTCACCTGGATTGGTGGAAAACGAGAGGTAGAGCTGGGTATCATCAGCGTACTGATGATTCCGCAGCCCACACCTCCTAATGACCTCTCCCAGTGGTTTCATGTAGATGTTAAATAGCAGGGGGGACAGAATGGATCCCTGTGGAACTCTATGGCATAGCTGCCATGGCACAGAGCCATAGTCCCCCAGCACCACCTTCTGGAATCGGCCACTGAGATAGGAGTGGAACCACTGCAAAGCAGTGCCTCCTACCCCCAATCCCGCTAGCCTATCCAGACGGATACCATCGTTGATGGTATCGAAAGCCGCTGAGAGGTCCAGGAGGACCAACAGGGATGCACTCCCCCTGTCTCTCTCCCTACACAGGTCATTGTACAGGGCGACCAAGGCAAATTCAGTACCATACCCAGGTCTGAAGCCGGACTGAAATGGGTCCAGATAATCAGTTTCATCCAAGAGTGCTTGGAGTTGTCCCACCATCACCCACTCTAATATCTTGCCCAGAAATGGGAAGTTGGCCACTGGTCTATAATTGGTGGCCATCTCTGGATCAAGGGATGCCTTCTTTAGGACTGGCTGGACTACCACCTCCTTTAAAGGGGCAGGTACCCGGCCATCCCTCAGAGAGGCGTTGACAACCTCCAGGATCCAGGTCCCTATCCCGTGCTTGGCTTTGTTAAGTAGCCAAGATGGGCAAGGTTCCAATAAGCAAGTGGTGGGACGTACTTGTGCAAGCATCTTGTCCACATCATCAGGCCGCAATAACTGGAACTCATCCATCAATTTTGGATCAGATGGCAACATTGGCACCTCCCCTGAAGGCTCTGAGTCACTAGTGGAGTCCAGCTCGTGACGAATCTGAGCAATTTTCTCCTTAAAATGCTTGGCAAAGTCGTCAGAGCGGGCCGTTGAGGGTGGTACAGGGTCTTTCTTGGGTGGACAACTTTTGGGGGAGACCTGTTTTCCACCCAGCAGGAGCTGCACCCCAACCTCACAATTGCTGCTGCTTCCACAACTGCCACAGCAGCAAATAAAGGGGCTGTACAGCACATACTATGGTTACAAGTAGGACTGTACTTCCAGAAACCCAGTTCTGCTTCCCAGCAAACCAAAGCATCACTTTTTTGCCGCTGGCATGGCAGATGTGGTGGCAGAGCTCTCCACAAAAATAGCCATGGGGACTGCGTGCAAGCTATGGGTTGCCCATCCCTGTCCTAACAGAAGGTAAACCTGCTTATTTAATAACTCTACAACCCATTTACTTAGCAGCCTCCTGTTAAAGTTCACTCTCTACAAACTCAGATTTATCATCCTGGCATATGGGTGAAGTTTCACACATTCAGCATTTATTAACAAGAAGAAGGAGATAAAAAAGCTCAGCTACAATCCCAGGAGGAAGAAACATTGCACATTTATAGGCCATGAACAAAAGTTATACTGAGAAACAAATATGTTGGCCTAGATACACCCTTGAAATAAAGCACAAAAAAGACAAACAATGCTAAGGATGTAGCTGGGTTTTTGTTATTGTATTATGCTGTCAAGTCATCTCCAACTTTAGATCTAACCACTTGTGTGAGGAATTGAGCCCTTTACCCTCACTGCCCACATCTCCCTGACCCACTGACCCCTATGTTCCAAAGCCTCATTGTCTGTTTGCTCTCTTTCTGCGAATATTCATTTCATTTCATTTTTATACCACCCAGTAGCTGAGGCAGTTAACAAAAGTTAAAAACACAAAACAAGAAAGAAGAACAAAAATTAACCTAAGACAATAAAACCATAGCAATTGCAACTGAATCAGCACAGAAGTATAGAAGTGATACAGGATAAAATGCAGTATTAACCCTAAAGTTAAAAGATTAACTGTTCAAATACTGGGAAAATAAAAAGGTTTTAATCTGGGGCCAAAAAGCATACAGAGTAGGTGCCAGATGCACCTCTTTGGGAAGCTCATTCCACAACCAGGATGCTACATCTGAAAAGGCCCTTCTCCTGGTAGCCTCCTTACTTCCTTTGGAGAGGGGGCTCCCAGAGAAGGACCCCTAAAGGGATTGGGTAGATACATATCCTTCAGATAACCTGTCCCAAGCCATTTAGGGCTTTGAATGTTAGTACTAGCACTTTGAATCAGGCCTGGACTTCAAACAGCAGCCAGTGCAGCTGGAAGAGGACTGATCTGATATATTCTTGTAAGCCAGTCCCCATTAACAACCTTGTTGCCCTGTTTGGATCAGTTGAAGTCGCCAGATCATTTTCAAAGGCTGCCTCATGTGCAGCACATTGCAGTAATCCAATATCCCACAGCTCATTCTTTCTTTAGGGTTAGGGCAAGTTTCTTCTCCTCCCTGGTAGCTCCCCCATGCCTCTGCCTCTTTCATCCTGCCCCTGCTTCCCAAACTAGTAGTTGATCTAACACTTTTTTTTTGCCTGTTTATCCAGTGGCTTTCCCTGCTCCTCAGATTTTTTAACTTTTCTGCTGCTTCCCCTTTCTTTGCCAACAAGACACATTTCCTCCTGTATCTGCATCTGGCCCTAATGTAATATATTCCTCCTCCCAGCCAAATGACCTTTTGTTATTCTCACAAAATCTGCATCGTCAACATGCTGTTGCTGACATCTTTGCATTAAATTAAAAATTCCATGACATCTTTACAAGTTAATTAAAAATCCCATGATATCACAGTAGGACAGTCAATGATTGGTGCTGGGTATTTGCAAGCAACTTTCAGCAGCTAGTTTTTTGCATACCATATAATATGTAAGATAAGATAAAGTCCGGGTCAGTAAGTTGATTAAAGACATCAGTGTTTTGGAGACAAATGGAAAATCAGTTCTGCCAACAGAATTCTTATTACCTTTTTATTACATATGAGGATATAATTATAAAATCCTGTTTACACAAACTGTCAATCAAATCATGCTTCTCTGCATGGCTACCTTTTCATTCCATTAACAGCCAGTGACTGACTGGGAGAGTTGTTGAGTTACAAGGAACTTCACTGTCATTTGAATGAGATTTGGGGAACCACCTTTAGATAAAATAGGTAAAAATTATAGTTTTGTAATATTTATTCACACTTCTTTAATTAGATAAAAGAAAAACATCCTGTAGGCAAGTCAATCCTGATTTGCATGAGAAATAAGAGACACAGTGTTGAACAGGAAAACCGATGATCCTGGTGTTTCAAGCCAGGGGCCAAGTCTCAAGGAGAGTACATTGCAGCAGTCAAACACAGAGCACCAAAAGTATGGATGACACTCATATAAGCTTCTCTCTAGATAAGATGACAGCATGAATCAATCAGACACAATTCAAATTCAGCTTTGGTTACTTCATTCATGCAGTTGTAGTGGGTTTTAATGGCTAGTATGCTGCAGAAAGGTGATGTAGTTCTCCGTTTCCCAAGAGAGTCCCTTTTGACTACAGTGTATCCTGCAGCAATAAATTCCTTCCTGACTCCAGTGTCTCAACATTTTTCCTGCCCAACCCACTTTTTCCATTTCTCTGCAAAAGTAAAATGAGCACAGAAATAGCTGTGTAAGTATTGCTAAAAGAGTCCAAATGGGGGCAGATGACACCCACCCCTTGCCCTGCACAAGTTGTACACTGTCAGGTGGGCATCACATCCACCTAAAGTCATTTGCTCCCTTGCTGAAGTATTGGATGGATATTCTACCTGCTGCTTGAGCCAGGGACCAGGCTTTTCCAGTCAGGGAGGCCACGCATGCAGCTGAGTCCCCTTCACTCCTGACAGAGCAGCAAAAGAATTCTGCCTGGCACTGCCCAGGTTTCATACACTCTGCCCATTCCCTCCCCCCAGACAAAATTGAGCCAGTGAAGTCCTTGTTGTTCCTCTAGCAGATGCTTGGAAGTGCCACCAGAAAAAAATTCAAAGATATATCAGAAGATCTGACATCTGGCTGGGCTGGGTGATCACATGAATGTAAGAAGAGCCATGCTGGGACAGATCAAGAATCTGTCTAGTCCGACATTCTCTTCACAGAGTTGCCAGTCTGCTGCTCATGAGAAACCCACAAGCCGATGTCCCCAAGCAATTGCTGTATGCAAACATGCTGCTTCAGATGCAGTTGGCAGCACCTAACAAAGATGGATTAGTAACCACTGAAAGTCTTTTTCTTTAGCAGTTTCTAGCTAGGGCTTAGTTGTTTCTAATCAGTGTACAATTCCATTGATAGAAGCAAACCTTGATTTTACTAACAAGGGTTTAAAAAGGAAACACTACCTGCATTTTATCCATAAATGCAGCTGGCAGCTTTTTCAACCGGAAGCTGGTAATAAGTAGTTTTCCATGGTTTGTGTGGATCAGGTTTTTTGTCCAGGACTGCTGCAATGATAGACTCAATACAAACACATGAAGCTTTAAAAAAAGAATAATGTCAGTGGTAGATCAAAATTTGGGGTGGGTGAGGGAAATAATAAAAATCTCTTCCTCTAGTTCCCATTTCACCCCAGACATATTCTAATTTGCTTATTAACATTCAGATGAATACTTGGAAGTATTGGATATATTAGATGATTCTTACGATTCTGTGAAGAACTGCCATGTATATTCTTTGTAGGGGCCACTAGGTAGCAGCATTGCACTGTCAGGTTGATTTCAGGCACCTGGAGGAGAGATACTTTTGATCTTCATGCCAATGGAACGCAGTTGGCCTGCAAAGGTTTTAATGGAATTTCCAGATTTAAATTACATATTGTCAGTGCAAAGGTTTGTGAATATTTTTTTTTCTGGTTAATGAAGTGGCAAAAATGGAGCCTAGACTTTGTAAACAGTCTTTGTAAATTTAGTGGTAATTTATTATGTTCTATTGTATTTCAATGTATTTTATTGTGTTGTAAGCTGCCCCGAGGCTTCGGCAAGGGGCTGCATAGAAATGTAATAATAATAATAATAATAATAATAATAATAATAATAATAAACAAAAAGCAAGCAGTGTGGCTAGGAGAAAAAATAGGAGGTAATCACAACTGAAGACTATACCATGGGCTGGGGTGGACCAGGCTAGTGGAATCTACTTATATTGTTTTACTGGAACCCTGAGGTCCACCACCCAGACCTAGGTGCAGAATGGTGACTAAGGAAGGGTAGTGGGCATGCTCATTCTGCGAATCTGTTTTCAGTACCAGCTCATATTTCTTTCATATACAGATCCATTCCAGGTTTTTCTCTCAAGCTTTCTTCATTTCAGCAGCCTCATTTAGAAGAAGGGGAAGGCTTTTGTTGTTGCTATTTACAGCTAGGAATCCAAACCTTTGCTAATCTACTGCAACCATCCTGAGATGAAACAGTAGCTCCTGATTTACCTTCTGCTTACTCTGTAGTGTTTGTCTGTGGCTGGTTGTTGTTTTGTTTCCTTTTTCCCAATGATGATGGCTCAATGTATTTTAGGTTTGAGGTTTTAGTCTCTTTTGGTATTATCCCCTAATGCAGGTGTCTGTTGCCTTGAAATATTTTGGACTACCTCTCCCATAATCACTAACTGTTAGCCGTACTGGCTGGGGCTAGGGAAATCTGTAGACCCAAACATTTGGAGGGTGCCAAGTTGTAGCCTCCTGCCCTAATTTTTCATAATTTTATAATATTAGCATAGGTTAGAGCTGCAGAGGTAACCAGTTTATATGAGACTCATTTGGATATTCCTAAAAACTGAGGAGATTGTTCTGTGGAATCATATGTAAAATAAGTGGGGGATGGGGAGACACATCTTGTTTGACTAGATTGGTGAGGGAGACCTAAAGCCTAGGGGCCAAATACAGTCCTCCTGGGTCAGAATCTTGCTCTCTGTACTTCACTAGTAGCCATGACCACAGACCCACCTTTCCCCAGCTGCTCAGCTGTTGATCATGTGACTCAACAGTTTTGATCCTTGGTTCTGTGCAGTTCTCCATCCACCTCCATCCCCAATTTGAAAATGCTGAAACACCACTCAAGTCTTAGTTACTAGCAGTAAGAACTTCATGCTACAATCTGCTGAATGCTTCTCTACAATTTAATTTGGTCCTAGGGCTGTGAGAGTTTCCCTACCTCTGTCAGAGATGGTTTGTGGATGCATCCCTCCGTGGGTGGGTGGGTGTTTTTTTTTGTGGGGTGTGTATTGTCTCACTGGGGATTTGTTGTTTGTTGACTTGCTTTGGCAAACATAAGGCTGTAGGCTGAATGTTCTAGCCTGGGCAGGGATCTTGCTGGGTAAAGGGAAGGAAATCATATGCTGAACATGGTGGGGCCTGGGGAAGTGTGGGTATTCCATAATCTTGCTGCTTAGTCTTAATGCCTGAGAGCACATGTCTTTGTATTAGGGAACTCATTAATGGGATCACAGTGACAGATGAGAATGACAACACACTGGGCAAGTCCAGGGTAAGTACTGCTATCTCAGGCTTTTGAGTAACATGAATAGCGTCATCATTGCTTTGCTTTGGTGAGTGGAGTCTTTGGAATTTGTCTTGCCTGTGCAACTGGTGGTCCAAAGAATCTGGACACTTTGATTAGGATGAGTTGATAGGTGCTGCGCTTTGTGTTCTTGACCCACTCCCATGATGAGAGAATAAGGAATAAAGCATAAAAACAACATTTCTACAGGCAACTTGGAATTGTAATGAACCTAAAACTACTAGTCAGTGCCTGACCTACACATTGATTTTTGTGTGCTTGTCATAGGCTTTCATAGGCAACAGCCTACTCCATCAGATGACATTCTTGAGTATCTGATGCCCACTTCAAATAACAGATTTCTGCCATCTCTAGAGTACCAAGACTTTCCATGTAACAGGAAGTGAGAAGTACTGTCACTGGCTTATACTACATCCCACTTGTAATTTTAAATCTGACCTCCTCCATTTCCCCATGCATGAATTGTTCCCAGCATTTCTGTATTTTCCCCATGCTAAAAGGTCACTGTTACTGTAAATAGCTCAGTTACTGTCACTGCTTCCAAGTTAAGAAGAGTGTATAGGTTGGAGGTTCCAGCAGGGATTGTCCCACTGAGGCAGTTCTGTATTTCCCAGAGCACCCTGATTAGTGTTCTGTTTTTCACCATTTGAAGAACCAGTATGATTCTGCTTGTCTTCCTTTTCTTTCAGAAAGCAGCAATCAAGGGGATAACCCAAGTGGTGATTTCCCGCATCACCATGGCTGCTCCTGGCATGAGTAAGCTCTAAGCATTTCTCACTTGCTGAACTATAGCTTGGCAAGCAACTCTAGGGGTGGGCATCTGAGATGGCACGGAGCTTGCTAAGCAAGTTGACTTGAGCTCAGGAGGTGGTGGAGGTCCCTTTGGGTTGTTCTAACAAGAGGTCCTCCAGTAGACCGTGCTAGGAGTTCTAGTGTTAGTTATGTTGAGACAGTAAAGCTTTTGCTTTGCCCAAGGGGCTTCCAGTAATGCTTCTTTCATAAACTTTCTCTGTTATTTTGTTTTATCTTAGAGTACCAAAAAGTACAAGAGAATATACTTCCCTGCAAGTTTGTATTTTCCCCCCATTCTAAAAGTTATGGACAGTGGTTAATTACTGATAGTAAGAACTTTAAAATATGCCAGTATTTTTGATATTTTGACTTTACCCCTTTTGCCTTCAGCGCTGTCTGCCACTGGAGTGTGACCCTTAGGTGTATCCCCAAATGGAATTTGGCCCTGGGTGAAAAAGATTCTGCTCTCCGGCTTTAAAAACAGCTTTACATTTATTTATAGTTTAACAAAATGATGTGCATGTGCTTTACTAATAGGTAGCCACTGAAAGAGTCTTGCCATCTTTGTCTGATTGGGCAGGCTGGCATGGCTAAATTCCCCAGGACACCACTTAAGGGTGCAATTTTATGCATTTTTAGATAGAAAAAAAGTACTATAACTCCCAGCATTCCCCAGTATGTTTTTTTTCTCTCTGAACATGCATGGGATTGCACCCTAAAGCACTTTAAAGCAGAACAAGTCTGTTAAATGTGCTTTAAATAGCTCTAAGTACAACCATCCAAAGAGCTTCAGCTATGGGGTTGTATAGAAATGAAAATAATACTTTGAACAGATATTGATTAAAAACAATTTAACATGCTATTATGATCCCTATGGTGATTACCTGCAAGATTAGCCAGGGCTGTTGCTGAATGAAGACATTATTTCTTTACTTCTCTTGGAAAACGGAAGCTTTCTGTGTTCTGTGTGAGATCTAGACAGTACATATGCGTTAGTTAGGCTGCGCTAGTACATTTTATCCAGCATGAAATGCGATGGCTGAGATACGGGGGCAGGGTTCACCCAGAGTAAACTAACACATTCTTTCTTCTCCAGTTTTGCTGCCTATCATCATGGAAAGACTTGAAAAATACCCCTTCATGAAGGTAAGTAGCTCAGGTAATGGTGCCTTATCACCATTTTGATTGATTTTTCTTTTAATCTCTTGAGAAATTTGAGTAAGGATATAGCAAAAGGTTATTCTGCAGCTTTTATATTTAGGACAGAGAGGGGCTTGTGTAATCTGTGTTTCACTAGAACCTTGAAATCAACCCTCCAAATTCTGGTGAAAAAAAAATACATACATTTAGAATTAAATAATCCTGAACACAGGAAATTGTTCTAAGTATCATAACTGAATGGAGCCCTCAGAGCTTCCATACTAGTCCGCTTCTGGTTATACCAACCTTTTTTCAGGTGCCTCCAGATGAGGCTTGTATTGTGCAATCACACTGCCTCATTTATGGAATTTTATAGGGGATCTAAAATGTCTTCCATTTGTAACCTTCATGTTTTTCCAAAACTTCTTTTTCCTTGCTGCAGAACTGATAACTGCGTAATATATTTTGATTAGTAGTGTTAGGAACAGTCAGTATGGAAGCACACTTCATCTGAGCAGTATAATTTGAAGGGAGAGAGGGATAATTTTGTTTCTGCTGTTGATGAACAATTAGGGGTCAGAAAACCAAGCTGAGTTACTGTAAAGCCAGAGATCTCTCTGTAGATCTTCTTCCTGTCCTTGACTTAGTAGGCAAACTTTAGCTTAAACGTTAAAGCTAAGTAGCTGAACTGATGCAGGAACAGACATAGCCTGTAATGGAGAATAAAACAATTGGAACAATTGTGTCATTGTGGAAGGACCAAGATGTAGCAGCAGCCCAGAATTAGGCTGAATACTAGGAAGAGCTTGTTAACTATGGGAACTGCTGGCAGTGGAACAGATTTCCATTGTAAAGTTGTAGAGTTGCCAAGCCATTTTTACACAGAAGTTGGGTAACCATCTCTCTGATGAATTAATTCTAGAGACTCCAGAATTGGTGCACAGTAATGGCTGGATGTGGCTATTCCATTCAGTTTAAAAACTCTTAATTTCTCTACAGCTCTCTATCCTATAATAGGCAAAGCAGTTATGGTGACCATTGTGCAAACTGTAGGGGTTTTTGATTTAGATAGCAATATGGAACTCCATAGACTAAAAGCACAAACCAGGAACAATGCTACCTACTGAAAAGATATAGGGTTCAGACCAACAGGATAAAATAAGGAAACAGATTTATGTATGCTAATTTAAATGTGCTCTCAAGTCTCTATGCATCTTTCATGAAGTTTGTTTTTAAGGACAATCCTATTTGTAAAAAGAGGCATATGAACAAGTGAGAAAAGGTCATTTGATTTTGTGGGGGAAAGCCTTGGGCAGAAGGATTCAAGGGAAAGCACATGTGAGCAAAAAGCTGGTCAATTAAAGAGGATTGGATGCCCCCATACCTTTATTTTAGCAAGATCCCATTCATAACAATAGGATACAGCAGATAGCCTCCCAGAGATTCAGGACCCCAAATTAAACCTTTGGGGCTCCAGCCCTACTGGGCCCTCACCTAACACTGCCTCTGACACAACCTTATGGCTGTTAGATGCTGTCCAGATGGCCATATGAAAAGTTTGTCTCAGTTACAACCTTGGGAAAGCACTCCAAGGTCAGAGCTGAGATTCTGACTGTAGAGCACCCATCCTCTACCTCTTTGCTGCTGTGGTTTTCTCCATATTGTCTGCAGCTCCAAATTTAGGAGAGCATGAGAAGCATGGAAGAGATGTCTCCTATGTGCTTCTCCTGCCCTCCTTTGAGTTCGAAGGGTTACAGTCAGTCACATGGGATTGTACTGTAAACCCACTTTACAAATGTGTCCAGCAAGCTCAGATTGCAGTAAGGAAGAGTTATTAGTTCCCTGCACAATTTCAACACCAGCACATGACTTCTTACGTATTGCTTTCTTGGCAGAAAATCCAGGTTCTCCACGCTCCTTTGCAAACAGTACTTGTTGGAGGGTTGTAAGTATGATGTGACTCATATTGCCTTTGTGGGTACTAATTTTAGGTATGTTGAAATTGTATTTGGGAGAATTTCCATATAACTGACTTGAAACATTGCAAGAAGGATATTGGAAAAAAACATTATATTGTGTGCATGTGGGGACTGGGGGCTTTGCATGAAGAACACAAATTAGGTTTGAGGAGTTATTCCCCCACCAATGGTGAGTATTGGTGCAAACTACCACACACTGGCCAACTTCTCATTTATAATTTACAATATTTTATATTCAAACTGTTTGTCAGAGACATGTAGGTGGCTAACAGGAAACAAGAGTTTACAAGAGCTGAGCAAGGCTGTCAAGGACAGGATATTTTGGATGGCATTCATTCATAGGGACACCATAAGTCAGAGACAACTTGATAGCATGTAAAAACAGCAACAGGAAATAAATATTTAAACATTAAAAACTTCCCTTTTCAGCACACAAGCAGAAAGCACACAAAAAACTCTCACAGCAATAAAAATATTCAAAATATTGACAAACAGTAACTAAAATAAATTCTCCATTGAAGGCCTTCCTAAAAAGAAGTGTCTTCAACAAGTTCTGGAAGGTTATTGTTAGTGAGGAAGAGAGAGAAATCTCACTTGGAAGGGAATTCAAGAGCCACCAAAAGCCCTCTTGATAGCCCCAAATAACATATTTCAGGGATCCGTGAAGGAGGCAACTATATTAAGTAGACAGTGTCCTTTGTAAGAAGTGAGACATGGTGAATAAAATCTACTGGTTCAGTAACCGAAAGTTTTGCCATTCTCCATTTGTTGGAGATAAAAAACACCATGAAATGAATTGGATCAAGGCATTTAGAAACTGGAGCACTGTTAAGAGAGAATGTGCCCTATTTTATACCCTCCAAATCATAGATAGCAGCGAAGAGTATTTATTGCTGAGACTATAGGACAGAAATAAGCAACATGCAGCCCATCAGCCACATGCAAGCTGCTGGTCTCACCAGCTTACCCACAGCCTTCCGCCCTTGTTGCCTGAATCCCCATACAACTAGTAGGCTTGAAAAAATCCTCCTACTGTACCTATAAAAGGTATATTTCAATCCTAACAGCCTCCAGAGTGGGGTGCAGGGAGTGCAGCAAAGAAGGATCTGTTCTGCTTTGAACAACTCCCAGATCTAGCCCTCAGCCCCACCTCAACACCCTGGATATTAGACTTGGAAAAAATCCTCCCATTGGATCATTGGGAGGCTTATTTCAAGCTGAATTGGAGCACAGGTGTGTAGGGGTTTATTTATGCAAATGAAAGTTAGTAGCATGATCCTGCCCAAAAGTAGCATGTAGCCCATAGAAAGTTAGCCTTCAAGCCAAAAACATTTCTCCACCTCAGCTGTGGAGCCAAATGGAACCTATCAATCAAGTGCATGCAAGACTGAATGTCTGAGAACCTCAGATCCCTTTTCAGTCCTCTTCATTTATGAACATCATGGTCTGGAAATTTCTGCTGCAGACAAGGTTGGTGGTGGTGGGCTGATGGGTGAATTATTGGGATCATTATTGGGTATAAAACAGCTCCTTAGATTCCTCCCCAAGGACTTTACACATTGCACCTGCTTCCAACATGAGGCAGCTAACTGAGTAACAGAACTCACCAGGTGACTTGAGAATAGCGGGAGAAGAATGGCCAAGGTGCAGTACAAGTGCATCAGTGTAAATTGGGGTGGGCAGGTTGTGGCCCTCCATATCTTTTGGCCTACAGTCCCATGAACCATCACTATTGGCTGTGCTAGTTAAAGCTGATGAGAATTGCCAGAACTTACAGAGGCCTGCAACTTGTCCACCCTGATGTTAAGAATATCTTGATTCTCTTGAAGCTGCATTAGCAATTCTTGCTTCAGTGTACAAAGAATAAACATTTACTTTATTTCTAATGGCCTGCCTTTGCCTTGCAGTCTTCTGTTCATGGTTCCAGTTGCCTGTGCACTATTCCCACAAAGGAGGTATTAGCCTTATTGCTCTCTTTTTTTCTTCCCGGCTTTCCCCTTTAGACTTCCCCGTGTATTTCGAACATCTTCTGGGTTTGGAGGACCACCCTACACATACACTGTTACTAATGTCTTCAGTGCACTCATCATTTCAAGGAAAAGAAACATGGTATAATTGAAGAATGGCCCCATCTTTTCCAGAAAGAGTTATGTTAGTGTAATCAAAATTATCACCCACGCATTCCTGGGCATCTTTGCCCACTAGCAACAAATCCCACTAGCTTAATGGGACTACATATACTCATGTTTCATTGTGATTACTTGCTCAAGGCCTGGTGGTCCTAGCTATTTATGTGTTGGGGAAAGAGACCAGCAAAAGGGCCCCTGAGCTTGTTAGTCTAAGACAGAAGTTTCCTAGCATTTCAGCTTAGGAATCTGCTAGACTGTGTGGCTGTCTAACTCAGGAAGGTACTTTGTTCCATTCATACAAAAGCAAACAATGGACTTCAGATGAATGGCTGAAACCATCTTCCATATCACTGGTCCCCAGGCACTTCCTAAGGAAACCCTGGTTTTTGGCTGTACCTGTTATGTGTTGGTTCAACTCCACTGTGCTGTCCTCTCCTGTGGATGGTTTTGCAGACAGGCCTTGAAACATACCAACAAGGTTATGACACATTTGGATATGTGCATTCTAGTGTTTACTAGTTGGCCTTGCTCACAAGAAAATGTCTGCACTTAATATAGTTTTAGGATCTGCATTGCAATTGTTGCTTCTTGTTCTTCTGAAAAAGAAAAGTGAAGCTAGCTATTTGCAGTTCCATCTAGCTCAATGTTGCCTTCTAGAGAAATGGCAAGGGAGCCAAGATCAAATGTAGGTGTAGGTTGGTATTCTTGAGCATAATCCTTCTTTTCTAAAGTGTACAAGTGTTTAAATGTTGAGCTAGTAGCAAGAAAGCTGAATAGGCATTTGTCCTGTTCCTCCTGCCCCTAACCCTCACCCTAGTCTTGGTCTGGGCACAGAATATTACCTCAGTTCCTTGCATCTAATCTGTCTCTATCTCTAGATCAATGTACATCACACAGCCTTAAGCTACAGAAGACTATATGGTTTCTTTTTTTCCTTTCCAGTTCAATTGCCCTTTCACAACTGGAGCCTGATCTCAGAGAGCTGATTGTGGCCAAACATGGGGATAAAGTGCCTTACGCCTATTTTAACAAGGGATTATGAGGAAGGACTCAAGGTGGTGCATCATCTCGCCTTGGAATCTTTCCACTGGAGAAGCCACTGCTAGACTATGCTCAGGAAATGAACTCAAAGATACTGCAGAAAGAGCAGCTCTCTGCCTTCATTCCTCTTTTTCCAACATTTTAGTATGGGGGGCAATCAGATAGATGGGAGATTTGGACCCTGTGGATAATGTTTCTTGCATGTTTACCTATGGACCTGCTCCTGTGATGGGAAATGAGATATAAGGTTGCAGCCAGCTTCCTGTTTGCTGCCAGGTGCCACTCAGAAATGGAAATCTCCTTACTCTAAGGTAGTGATTCAAACCCAATGTCCTTCCTGATCTTGTGGGGCTGTGTTCAACTCTGCCCCAAAGGCTCTAGTCCAGTGTCTCTGCCTGATCCAAGAAAGAACTTTGCCAGTTGCTCTCCATTTTGTCCCTAAAGAAACTTTTCTGTGCATATAGGTACAAGAGCTTAAGTTTATGATTGATACATGATGCACCAGGCAAATTGCAAAGGAACAGAGGATAACTCTGCATCCATACCTGCCATTGGCTGAAAATCCAAACAATGATAACATGAAGTGTAATTCTAGCCATATTAACCTGGGAGCAAGGACTACTGATCTCTTTGTACCCTATATTACACACCGTGAGACTAGTCTACTTGTGTTTAATCAGAATGCATTTCCAAAGATGTAGTAAAAACCAAAACCAATACCTTTATGGTATTCAATATTGCCATATTTTAAAGTGGAGCTGTTGATTGAAATGCTATTTTCTTAAGTCTGTAAAATCCAATCTAGGCATTTGCTGCTTGGCTTGCTGACAAGGCCATTAATTAAGAGCTTGTTCATAATTTTTCTATACATGATCAGGGAGATAATTGGTTCTAAAGACATGCAATCAAACTGTCCTTCCCTGCCTTCCTGAAGGTCTGTAAGGATGCAGTTATTTGAGTAACCTGATTCAAAGCTGTTTTGGTATTTATAAATAGCTGTACCTTAAATTGGTTCTGGAAACATACTACCAGCCAATCTAACTCATGCAAAATTAGGGATATATATGCTAATTCCCCAGCTCCCACTAATAACCAGGCAGATAAATTTATTACCCATTGAAGTTTCTGGATCATCTTCAATGACAATATGGATATTGATAATACATAAATATCTGAGATCTTGAAAGATCCCCCTGGATAACTTTGTAGTTATTACATGTTGTCTGACTTACATCAACTCTCCTTGACAGCCCTGTACAGCTCCTGTAATCCTAATGCTATTGTTTTCTTTATGGAATCAATGTATCTCAGAGTTGGCTTTCAGTCTTCAACTTTGCCTAGCATTATTGTCTTGCCTCTGCATGATGTGCCCAAAGTACAACAACATCACTTCAGTCATTTTTGCTTCCAAGGACAGTTCTGGCTTGATATGATCTAGGACTTACTCGTTTTTCTATTGGACCAGGGTTCCTCCTGGACCAATAACTGTCCTCCAGCATCATGCTTCAAATGCATCAGTTGTCCTCCAGTTAGCGTTCTTCACTATCTAGCTTTGACACTTGTACATAGTTATCAGGAATATATGATCTTGGCTTTCATCTCCAGTGAAATGTCCTTACACATGATTATCTTTTCTAGTTCCTTCATTGCTGCCCTTACAAGTCTCAGTCTTCTTCAAATTTCTTGGCTACAGTCTCACTTTGAACTGATAATTGAGCCAAGGTATGCAAAAACGTTCACAATTTCAGTTCCTTACTTGTTGCCATTTAAGTTACGTTATTTTACTTTAGACATTTAGTTTTGTTTTCTTAATGTTCAGCTGCAGTCCTGCTTTTACGCTTTCTTCTTTTACTTTCATCAAGCACTGTTTCAATTCATTGCTGCTTTCTGCTAGTAATATGGTATCATGTGCATATCTTAAATTATTGATGCTATACAAATGATAGCCATTTTTACTCTTTCCTCTGATAGTAATCCAGATTTCCTCATGATATGTTCTGCATTGAATAGGTTGAATAGATATGGACATAAAATATACCCTTGTGCAAATGCCTTTGCCTACAAGAAACCATTCTGTTTCACCATATTCTGTTCTAACCATATTTTGCTGTAGTTGGGGAAGCATAGTCTGATCTTCTGTAATTCTTTGGTATGCACATTGAGCATCATTTTGCTTGCATAGGAAATTAGTGGAATGGTACTATAGGTGCTGCAGCCTTTTCAGTCTCTCTTCTTCAGTACTGTAAAATTTAGTGAACATTTTCGGTTTGTGGGCCATTGGGGTTTTTTTCCATATTTGTTGGCATATTCTTTTAGGATTTGGATCTATTCATCCTCTGCAGCTTGGCATAGTTCTGTTGGCACCCTATCTACTCTGGGTGCTTTATTGCTATCAGGTACTTTCAGAGCAGCTTTCACTGTACTTTCTAATACTGCGGGCTCTTCATAGGATTCTACTTTGAAGAACTCTGTCATTCTTTCATGTCTTCTGTATAGTTCTCTAGTGTATTCTTTCCATCTTCTCTTTATTTTCTGCTGGTCAGATAGTATGTTCCTTTATTTGTCTTTTAGCATTCCTAATTTAGGTTTAAATTTCCCTTTAATTTCTTGAATCTTCTGAAAGAAGTCTCTTCTTTTGATGCTCTCTTCTGTTTCTTTGCATTGATCATTGTAGTGTCTCTTTTTTCTTTTTTGGTCTTTACATAATGATTGCTGAAAAGCTGCTTTCAGGATTCAGATCTTTTTTCTATCACCTTTTGTTTTTGCTTCTTTCCTGGCTTAGCTAATATAAGAGCTGCTTCTGTCATTTATCTAAGCTTTTTCTTTATATTACAGGAATTGTCTTTTGGCATTCTATCCCAATAATTGATTGGTCTCAGTCTACAGTTCTTCTGGGAGTATCATCTTCTAGCACTATCTCTTGTTTCCTTTTGACTTCTGCATGATTAAATTAAATGATCATAAAGGAAGATGAGCCAAATTTATGGATAACAAATCCATGTCAAGCTAAGACTTTCCTTTACTGTCAGGCATTTGACAGCATATAATGGATTTCCTAGGGTTGTTGGACATTAGACCCTGGTAGTTTTATTACTGTTTTTAACCTGCTTTCAAAGTGTTTTAAATTCTTGAATGTGGAAGATTTTCTTTTATATTCACCATGCTGTGAACTTTCCCGAAAAATCAGTTGTTGTCTGATGTGGAAATGAAATGCCCCATTTGTAGACTTCTCAGAAGCATTGTATTGGCCGTTGTGGAAAGCAGATGGTGGACTAGATGAACCTTTGGTCCAACCCAGTTTGGCTCTCAATATGTTCTTAGACATAAAGCACTCATAACAAGAATGGACATTTGATTGCCCTTAGTATGGGCACTTCCTCTATCCTCCCAGCTCCTTTTGTGTATTATGCAGTGTTAGGATTTCCAACTTGGTGGTAAATTTTCCTTCCCATGGCCATCTCCATTAACCTTGTTTTTGCTCTAGAGCTCCCTTAGTTCATAAGGAGCTAGGGGGAAGAGGACAAATAGATTTCAAATGGGGAAGTTACTTCAGGTTTCAGACTGAATAACTCAGAATTTTACATAAGCCTGCAGCTCTGCAGTGGTAATTTAATTTTAGAAAGACCAGTTTCCTCTGGTGGTTATTGAGCAATACCAAAGTTCTTAGCGTCATTCTCTGCTTTCATAGCACAGACATTTTTCCTTTAATCTATGCCTGCAAAATGTCCTGGCACAAACAAGGAATTGCCTAATGGAAGTCAAATCATTCAAGAGAACAGAAATGGATTTTGCTTTCCAAGATCCAGGCTGGGACATGCATTTTCTATGCATCCACATATTACAACAGGAGGAGGAGGTGGTGGACCGATTTTTCTTTTCCTGGCTGGGGCATGCTGAATGCTGTTGGCCTTTTTCTGTCTAAACAGGCATAGGATTAAACCTTAAGTGACTTGAGACAAGCTACAACTTTCTCATTTTTGCACCATCCCCTCCCATCTCCAACAGGGAGATGGTAATGCTGCCTTACTTTACAAAATTGTTGTAATGATTGTTAAGAAAATTGGAGTCAAAAGCTTTGAACACTTGAAGCTCTCAATAGTGCCATTATTCAATCCAATTCTTACATGCAGGGGAGGGAGATGAGAGATGCTGCACAGCAACTGATTCAGCCAGTCTCTCTCCAAAGGTAATCATTTGATACATACAGGCTTGATCATGAGAGTCTGTCCTCTGTTGATAGTTTAGGCAGAAAATTATTTTAAGTTTTTGATTTGCCTTGCATCAATCAGGTTGTGCTTGAATACAGTAACCTATTGAGTGTTTAATTCTGTGTCTGTTCGTTTGGTTTTTTTAATTTATGTTTTAAATTGCCAGATGATTTTCTAGGTAATTTTCAGACTTGTGACTGTTACTCTTAATATGGTGCTAGCCAGAGTCTGCTATATTGGATCACAAATACTGGATTTTTTTTTCTTTTTGGATCTAGGACATTTCCAGTGCTCAGTAATGCTAATGAGGAAATAAAAACTAATTCTTTTAAGCCTCTTTTACTTGTGTGTGGGGGGTGGATTGGAAGCCAAAGAGAAAATAAAGCACCGTGATTTTAAAATCTGCCCTGACTCTTTTCTTATAAACCTTTAGAGACAAATGTTAGAATCTTGAAAGGAACTTCATCTCTATCTGTGAAATCCATTGAACTGTTCAGCATGGGGCTGTAGAGTTATGAGGGCAGAGCAGACTTACAGATCCATTGAAACTTCCATGAGAATGAAAGTCAAAGCTGTCAATGGCTATGCCATTATGGAAATATGTTACCTCCTGTATCAGAGGCAGTGTGCCCCTGAATACCAGTTGTTGGGAAACAGGAATGGGAGGGTGCCACTGGGATCATGCCCTGCTTGTTGACTTCCCATAGATATTTAGTTGGCCACAGAATGAACAGAAAACTGGTCTACAAAAAACCAAGAATTCCTAATATGACACCTGTGGGCCCTTGTAATACAGTCTGTGAAGGAGTACTCACTGTGTTTTTACATTTTTAATATGCACACACATACACATGGATCTGTGTGAAAGGCATATAATTTTCTACCAACTGAATAAATATTAATGCCAAGCAACCTAGCTCAGTACATAAAACTTTAATTGACATGTGTCTTACCTGCAAGTGGCAGCAACAAAGTGGAGGTGGTGCTCACCTTTACTCTTTCCCACTTGTGAGAGAGGCATCCCCAGCCTGGTGCCCAGAAAGCAGGTGCTGGGTTGCAGACACCTCTCTCCCAAGCCGAAGAGAATGGGAAGCAAGTAGCGGACTTGGCTGAATATCACTACTCCCAACTGGCCCTTGCCGCCCAGCTGATTTTCATCCCTCCCACTCACACACTTGAAATGCTTGCCTCAGGTCCAAGTACAGGGGGCAGCAGGATAACTAGCTGAGTGGTGCTCCCGATTTACACAGTGCTGCCCAGCTGATTGCCAGATCCTGCCCCAGTGAAGGTCTTGAGGGCAGAAGATAGGCAGGGTGGAGCTGCCTCCGACTGCCACAAAAAGTGGCAGCTCTTAGTGGCACCTTCTGCATAGCCTCTTGGCAACTTTTGCTCTTGCCCAGTGGCTCATTGGTTCTGGCCAGCAGAACATGATGATTGTTTCCAGATTCAGTTGTTTCTCTTCGCAATTCCTTAATGACCAAAAGTACCACACTGAAAAACCACCGCAGTGTTCGCATGGCAGGATAGTTCAAGAATGGTTTAAAAAAAATTACTATGGCTTAAACATGTCATGCTAACCTGCCCTCTGTGTGAGAAAGCAGTTCCCTTGTCATTGTGCAGCATGAAAACACGGTGAACTAAGTGGCCGGCAGCTATATGAGACAATACTCCAACAGCCCTGTCCCCATATTAGACCATCCTTGTTTCCACAATTATCAGCTACCGTTTAGAGACACAGAAAGAGAAGCTAATTCAGACAGACCTCCATCCACAGGATCCTCCACAGAGATGCACTTAAGTGAGAGACTGCAAACTGCCTCAAACAACAGGCTGGAAATGCACTGCATCCTACATTTTATTTCCAACTCTAAAAATTTAAAAGAAAAAGTCAAAATAAGCTTCATGGCATTTGAAGAAATTGTTCCAAAAATGATCATAAACCTAAAGGGCTAATTTCAGAAGTTTATAATACTGACAAGACCAACTCCTAAAGGCCTATGATATGCATGAAGAAATGATGTAGGCTGCAATTCTCTGCATACTTACCTGGAAGCAAGGTCTGTAAAAAACAATGGGATTTACTTAGGCATGGATAGGGTTAAACTGTTCAAAAAGGGTTTGACATGAGAACAGTGGAGGGCAGTATGGCAAAAGAAAGCCTCAGTTACATCTACTAGCAAAAAGTAAGGTGATAATATATCTCATCTCCCCACAAATGGTAGAATGCCTCATTGATTTACCCATATAGTAAACACCATTTTGTCAGAGTACTAGAGAAAAGTGTAAGGCAAGGGTATTGAACCTCAAGCTGGTAGACCAGAACTGGGTTTGGGTTTTGAGTTTCCTTTCCCTTTAGGCAGTTTGGTGACTTCCCAGCTTACTTATTTAACTGCACTTGTATCCCATGACAAGGAATTCACAGTGGCTTGCATAATCCTCCTCCTCTCCATTTTTATGCTCACAACAGCCCTGAGAGGTAAGTTACACTTGTCTGAAGTCACCTGTGAGTGTCATGGATGAGTGGGGACTAGAACCTGAGCTCCAGAGTCCCAGTTCAGCACTCCAACCAATATCCCAGACTGGTTCTCAGTTTCTGGTTCTCACTGGCTTTTGCAGTTTTTCTCATTCTGAAAAGGTTGAAATGCATTTCCCAAAGCTTAGCTACTGGCAGTAAGAACTTCAAGCTAAAACATGCTGGCATTTTTTGTCCAGGTTCCCTTTCCCTTCAGCTCCACCCTGCATTGAAATGCCATTGCCCAGCCCTCCTTCTCCAAATGGAATTTAGTCCTCTGTTGAAAGGTTCAACACTTTTGGTGTAACTGTGAAGATTTTTATATTTATATGCGGCATTTATACATTAAAGGTATTGGACTAAAGCACTGGAAGTCCTATATTTCAAAAGTGATTAATACTACTAGAGCATTATTGGATTTTTGCGGGGCAGGGAGCAAAAACTTTATGGTAGCAGCATGCTTAGTTATAACAAAACATTGGAAAACCATAAAGAACATTAATGTGGACTTACAGTGTAAGAAAATGTGGTATATTGCCCTCTGAGAAAAGAACATTCCAAATTAAGCTGCTAAAGGGATGGGGCTTCTTTACTATATGACAGTATTTTAATTACTTTTTAAATGACAGTAACACCTAAAGTGCATGGCTCAATTCCATGATTTCTGAATTCATAGCAAGATGGATTCCCAATATTGGGATTGGACAAGAATATTGGTCTTTGCAAATATTTGATGGGCTTCTTTTATATACACAATGTGCTGGTTCACACAATAAGCCACTCTATCCCTCATGTGCCTGACAGATGGTTAGACACATTGGGGGAAGGGTGTCCCCTTCCTTGTCCCCCAGTCCTCTCATGGGTATCTCAGGGGACACTGCAGGGATAATTAGACGTTTCTTTCCTCCCAGCTGACACCCCTTTTCTTTGGTCACTTTAAAGGTGCAATCCTGTAAAAGCTTAGACAGAAAAAAGGCCTACACAGCATGACCCAGCTCGAGCATGCTAGGAGTTAAATACTTCTCTCTAAACTTGCATAGGTCTGTGCCCCATTTCTTCTTCCATTGTCAAAAAACAAAAAATAAAAAACTAGCCATCACCTACACTGCAAAATCCTCCCTTGTTTTGTTCTGGGCTCTCCTGTCCTAAAGGTACTCCCACTTTTCCATGTATTCACATGGCTGTATGAAAAATGGTGTTCCCTGTAAAAGAAAAAAAACTTTTAAAAGGAAGCTGAGTTTTTGGACATCTAGTTATTAAAGCTGCATTTCCTTTTACAAAGGGTGCATCACAGTTTTCCATGTTTCTGAGCACCTAGGATCAAAAGAACAAGTGGAAAAGTGAGAGCACACTGAAGACAGTTGTGTACAAATGTAATCTCAATACCCCTTTTTGTGAGCACAGATCATTCACACCTTTGGTTTAGCTTGACAGCTCACCTTTTGACAGCTGTTGAATCAAACCAAAGAGTTGGGGGAAAGGTTGTTTGGAGCCTCACTAGATCAATGTCCTGGGTTGGTACGTGTTGTGCTTTGCTAATAGATATCTCCAGGCAAGGTTGCCCATTTTCGGATCTCCCTAGGTGTGGCAGTGTGCACTTGTGAAAGAATCATTTAGAAAAATAATACTTTTTGCAAATACTACTGCACATTAGGAGTTCCCCAAAAATAAAAATATTGTCAACTTCGGTGGGACCTTTGAGGTGCAGCTTGGGCACTTTGAAGGGGCTGTCAGTGGCTATCAAAATGGGGATTATGCAAGTTGGCTGTTAAGCCAGAGATTGCTGTATCTGAAGGAGGGATGGAGAGAAAGGGAAAGAGGAGAAAAGCTGTGGAAAGCTGAAAATAATTTACCATCATGAGGGGAATGGGGAGACAAGTTATCCTGCCACAAGGTCCTCCAGGATATCAGTGGGAGGACCAAGAGAGAAGAGGGAAGAGGAAAGGTTTATATTTAAATGAGAGGTGAATATTTCAGAGATCATCAATTTTCAAAAAGCAGAACTGTTAACTCTAAATCCCAATATTTACTTTGCATTGGCTTGACCGTTGTTCCATTCTAGCTGAATGTTGTAAGAGCAGTGATGTTCCCAAATTCTGGTAAACAACCTCTGCCTCTCCCTGGCTTGGTGCCTGAATTTCTTATCTAGGCTTCACCTCTCTTCCTGTACCCCTTTTGTACTGAGATGGTTGACCTTTCTGGGTTTCCTGGGTAAGTTTCCAATCCCACTTGACCTCAGAATTACCTCAAAACCTATACTGAATAGCTTGCCATACTGCCTATCTCTGTCTTGTAATTTGGGTATCCTTTCTGCTGCCCTTAAACATTTTTGACTCAAATATAAAAACACAAATTCAAAATCACTTTCTCTGTAATGACTAGTACTGCCACCTGCCCAAATGGTATCATACAGAAATCATATAGGATGGAGCAGTGGTTCACCATGGTTCATTCTGTCACTCATACCTGTAAGACAATTCTCCTTCCTTTTTAAGAGATGGAGGTGCATCATTCTAAATCTGTATTGGGCAAAACACAAGCAAACCAAAATGGAGCTTCACTTGTGGACTAATACCAAAAGAGGGTAGTGATAGTTAGTTGGTCTTGAGGTTAAAAGTCTGAAATACAAACCTTGTTTTATTCAGGATAGAACTGCATCTTTTTGCTTCATTCAGAGAGGAACAGTGTATCTGAAATAAGACCTCTAAACAAATTGACAAATCATATTAAGTGAAAATGGAACTAATTTAGGTTTGAAACTTATTCAGACTTACCTGTGAATAAGTCCCAATGAATTCATTGGGGATTACTTTTCTAATTTAGTACATACATGAGATTAACTGACAGCTCTCCTTTACTTCATCATTGTCATGGTACACTTTGGCATGA